TTGCTGTGACAAAGCAGCAGGTGGCATCATCACCATCAGCACAGAGCACAGAGCAATTCCGACTGGCAGAAAGGGAAGAAAAGCTGGCGAATGAGCAACGGCTGACCCAGCAAAGTGAACTACAAAACTTGCGATGCACTTGAATGCAAAAGCCTCGACCCGAGGACAAACAAATGAGTGCACACGCACACAAAACAGTTGGCATTCGGGGCCAGGACATTGACACTGCTCGTCGCCCTGGATGTCACTATCCTGCACACGTCCACATCCCGTCATTCGGATGTCAGGTGGTGGATTCGCCACCAGTTCCCAGGGCAACCGGCGACCCGAAAGGAGTTCATCTCGCATTTTTGCACAATTTACACACTGGATACCCAGTTCCGACGAGGCATTCATATGTAAATAAGCTTTTATTAGGTGTTCCCTGGCTGAACGAGAATGGAACTGAACCCAACCGAGTTTTTGGTAGATGCGGAATGGAAATTGAAGTCTGAGTTGCATATTGATTGCTGTTTTGTGTTATTGAATTGATTGTCTCCCTTTTCCTTTGCTTCTCTCAGCTATTTTCTTATCCCTTTTTGATAGTAGTTGGGTTTTGGATTTTTAGCTGAAAGGCATTTTCCAAACATCCGCTTTGGTTCCCTAGAACTTCCCATGATATGTTTTTTACTACGATACAATTTAACTTTAATTAACCTTCCTCTTTGTTTTTTGGCCCACCAAATCCACTGACATTGATAGATGGTGGAAGTTACGAAAAAACAACTGCATAGCTTAGGAGATAAGTTTCCCTGGCTCAGGCAAATCAATCAACTCGGACACTTTGAGCGAATAGAGGGATGAATTCGGAAAACAGATTGCCTCAGTTCAGAGATAATTACTGCAAAGTGGATTAACTAAGCTAATTCCCGCTAACCACCAGATGTCTAGCTCACACCACAACCAAATTAGATTACCAACCCACCTTATTCATTATTTCATTTTTGCCCTGCCTCCCTTTTCCCGGAGCTAACCTATGTTTAATTGCAATTTGATTAGGCTTAACCTGAATTCGTATCAGAACTGGAAAAAACAGTTTACATGAAAAACACATTTAGACCCTAATCTGATATGTTTCGTAAACAGATAAAGTTATAATTTGGTACAACATGACGAATGCGTAATATGCTTTTCATGCCCTTATCTTTTTACCTAAGCTACAAAGTATTGATTTGAACCGAAAATTGTTTCTAATTTTAATGCGTTTAGTTTGTCTGACTGGGTAATACCTGGCTTGAAAATGCAACTAGAACATGGCAATAAAATGCGAATGCCTTAAACTTTCAGTTCTAGTTTGGTACAACATGGCGAATGCGTAATATGCTTTTCATACCATTTCCACTTTTGTTTTGCGTTTTATTAAAGCTACAATGTATTGATTTGAACCGAAAATCTTTCGTTTCTAATTATAATGCGTTTAGTTTGTCTGACTGGGTAATACCTGGCTTGAAAATGCAACTAGAACATGGCAATAAAATGCGAATGCCTTAAACTTTCAGTTCTAGTTTGGTACAACATGGCGAATGCGTAATATGCTTTTCATACCATTTCCACTTTTGTTTTGCGTTTTATTAAAGCTACAAAGTATTGATTTGAACCGAAAATCTTTCGTTTCTAATTATAATGCGTTTTGTTTGTCTGACTGGCTAATACCTGGCTTGAAAATGCAACAAGAACATGGCAATAAAATGGGAATGCCTTAAGCTTTGAGTTCTAATTTGGTACAACATGGCGAATGCGTAATATGCTTTTCATACCATTTCCTCTTTTTTTTTGCGTTTTATTTAAGCTCAAAGTATTGATTTGAACCGAAAATCGTTTCTAATTATAATGCGTTTCGTTTGTCTGACTGGCTAATACCTGGCTTGAAAATGCAACGAGAACATAGCAATAAAATGCGATTACCTTAACCGGTTGCATTTAAGCACTGCCAAAAAACTTTTCGGCAATTGGAACGTTTCGTGGGAAAGAGATGCAAAAAATCGTTGGATGGAGGTTTAGAAAGAGGTAGATAAATATGTAGGAGGTTAAAGAGTGAAGAGACGGGTCACGATTGTCGTTTTGCCAGTTTTTGTTTACGGCTGTATAAAAAGTGAAAGTGCACTTCAAGCCAACAGGCCACACAGACAAGCAAACTGCTTATGCATACAGATAGAAATGCCACATGTCAACATGTGTGTGCTTGTAATTTTAACTGCAACTGTAGATGTGAGCCGACATTTAAACGTAACAGACACTTGAGTCGAGCTAGAAATGTCAGGCCTGGAAAAAAGTGGGTGGGCCCATCTAGCAAAGGGGGAGAGGAAGGGGAGGGGGTGTGGGTAACCCCCCACGAATGAATATACAAGAGTCAGCCATTCTGCAAATTTCTGTGTGTGCTCGCTGACGTTGGTGTTGGGGCAACAATAAACCGTAGGGAAGTGCAACAAATGCATGAATAAACAACAACTCAATTTGAATAAAGCAACAGCAGCGACGTCGGCAGAGGCAGAGGCAGAGGCAGAGACGTCACCAATGGTGGGTGGCAGTGGGCAGTGGGAGGTGGGAGGTGAGCTTTAGGAGGTGTGAAATGTAAACTGAAACTCAGCTTTAAAGTCAACTAAGCTTCTAGCTGCTACTGTGAATTTAACACGTTTAAAAGGCCCTTAAATCAAGTTGCAAATTCTTGGCTTTGGTGTATCACCATTTCAAAAAGGTAATTTTGTTAATTTTATTAAATCTGTATAAAGACTTTGTAAAAGGAAGGCTGGTTTAAAATGTATGCTGAGTAATAATTTACAATGCTGAAAACGCCCTTGGGGTAAGCAGGATACTAAATGAAGGATTAATTATAGATTTTGTATATAAAGGGTTTGGTTAACCACACTTTGCTTAAAGTTCAACTTAGAGGCGAGCTGCAGTTTCTTCTAAAAGTTTGAAATTCAAACTTGTGTGTTTTCTTTGGCTTTTCGGCCGTCGAAACTTCTTAAAACGTAATTAAAATTATCAGGCTAAAAGCGTCATATTTTTTATTGCTTTTAATGAAAAAAACTTATTAGTTGTACATATATATCAATTTATGCCCACAGATACATATCCCAACAATTAATGATTTGAAATTTTTTGTGTTTTGCCAATTATAAAATGAATAATTTAATATTACTAAAATGCCCTCTAGTTGCGCAAAAAGTTATTCGAAATTATTTAATACTCATTAAATACAAAACAATTTGCGAATTGTGGTTGATGCAAACTTTTTGAAAGCTAAAATCAAGCTCCGTCCGAATGTTTATGTAAACCAAAAAACTGATTTTGGCTCCGCTACAAAAACTGGTTGGCAGAGCTTGGACCGTCTTGCGTTTATTGCATACAACAATTGATTTTCGCCAGACGGCGGAAAGCGGGACGGCGAAAATGCAAATGAAAATGGCAAAGAGCTCAGCGCCAAAATGGGGTGGCTGTCAGTGAGAGCGACAAGGATGAAGCTAGCAATATATGTAGTTTCAAACAAACTTCAAATTGGCGAACACAAAAGCAACTCTTAGACACACACACACACTGGCACACATTACATAGTCAGACAAGTGGGTGGGTGGATTAGTGGGTGGTGGATGGTGGAGTGTAGTCGAAGGGAAAGTGGGAAAAGGGGAAGGCGCCACCTGCTGACTGGGCGACTGCAACAAAAATGACAAACGTGCTCTTGATAGACTTGTTGACGACAAGCTCCTGGCACTTGGCAGCTGTCAGCAACAGACCAGAAATGGGCTGACGTTCTCACACACGCATGCACTGTTCAAAAAGGAGGGCTTCAAGTAGTACTTAAATTATGCCACCTAAAAACTCATCGAGTTTTACCTACAAATGCAAACATAAAAATAGTAGAGTTAAATTGATGATATGACTAATATAATATTATCAGATTTATGACTGATATAATTTACTCAATTTTTAATAATTTAAATATGCAGAAATGTGCAAAAACCCCAATAACTAAGACTAAAAAATGTGTTCACAAAGAAAAGCAATTGGTAAAATTAAAAGAATGTAATCTGCATCTTAGTAACTTTATTAAGATTCTAATATTGCAAATAATGCATTAAACATAATCAATTTTACTCATTAAAAAATTATCAAATATCATAGAGATTAAATTCTATGATATTGATATTTTATTAGACACCTAAATTGAACAGTAAATTCACTTAATTTTTTCTGCGTGTATTCACGGTTATTTTTAATGTCTCGGCTTGTTTGTTAGCATATGAAGTGTGGTTGCCAAATGCCGAGCCAGTTGGGAGTTTTGTAAGCAGTTTTATTGCCGATCCTATTAATAATAAATGCTCAAAATCAATAGAATGACTCCTTGCGTTGGCCATTTTTACGGCCGCGGCCACACATTTAAGCTGCATGCGAGTGCGGTTTAATGTATTTTGTGGTCCAATCTTGGTAATTGCAATTACAATCCGCTTTGGACAGCCGCGCTAACGGTAATCAATTTGTTGTGTTATTATGGCCAGTTCATGGTTACTGCAGCAACGGTAACAAAAAATCACGCAAATAACTATCCCTTATATTGCACTCACTTTTGCTTTCAGTTTGTTTTGCTGCCTTTTCTTCGACCAGCTTTTCGTTTTTTTTTCTCTTTTAACTTGGTTTACGCGCGCGGGCCAGAACGAGATGACGACGTAAGTTTCGTAAACTTGTTTTTGGTATGGCCCAAATCAAAAATAACGCAAGTCCGGCTTCACGAACACGACCGTTTCGCAGCAGCAGCAGCAACACACTGGCTTTGTTTTGGCCAACTCGCCAAGCGGAGCCGAAGTGGCCAAAACCGAAGTGGCACGCGAAGCCGACAAGTTAAATCTTACTTATTAGCAAATTATTTAGCTCCAGTAACTTTTACTTATTCTGTTATTTATTAAATCCTTTTCGAAAAGTATAAACTCACTTCTTTCTTTTACTGTCACCATAAATCTTTAAGTATTTTAATGCTACTCTGCTTAATTGAACTACGATTACAATTTTTGAATTCCGATGGATTTGAATCCGGGTAAGATGCAATCAGTGTTGGTAAATGTTATCGATAATCGATAACCAAGGACAACTGGTTCCGAGCGCCGAAGTTGATAGATATATCGCTGCCGCGAACCAGTTCACCTAGAAAAACAACAAACTCATCAACCACATAAAACAGTTAGTCCTATTTTTTGGTACAAAAACTTATCGAAATTATGCCTGTGTAATGCTAGAAAACATTTCGTTGTGTGTGATCAAGATCGAAACCGACTTGGAACCCAATTCAGGTAAAATCCGGAACTGCGACTGCCGCAGACAAAGAAAATGGATTTCGTCACAATAATTTATTCATTCTGGAACAGATTCTGAGGGAGCCGTCTCTGCTGAACATCCCACCAATCCCCGAGTGCTTAAGGAGCGGGAACGTGATCGGGGTCTTCGCCAGGCCCGCGATATCACGATAGAGACATACACCAACCAGCGTTGGACGCGGGAATTGAGTGCTTCGAAGGATCAGGAGACGGAGGGCACCAAGATGAGCTGGGCGCAGCAGCACGTCAACAGCCCCTCGGCGGGCAGTTCTAGAGATACCACTCCGCGAAACGGAGAAGAATCCCAGACGGGCGGTCTGCAGGCGGCCTCCTCCAAGTTTCCCCAGGAGATCGGCTACTTCTCCGGCAATCCCATCGTCGAGGTGACCAAGGGCCTAATCCATCTGTACAAGAAAAAGTTAGTTTCCTTATAGCTTCTCCATATGTCAATACTAATTTTAATTTCATGTAAACCGTAGTGAACGGAAGGCCATCAAGGAGGCTCCATCCAATCAGCTCTGCCTGCTGGCTGTGCCAGCCACTCTAAACTGCCACGATCTGCTGAACTTCATTGCTCCCTGCCATGCGGAGATCAAGCACGTCCAGATTGTCCGCGATGGAAGCCCCAATCAGTTCATGGTGCTGCTTGAGTAAGTTAAATAAATGTGAAAAACTAAGGCATAGCTCACTGATTATTTTTTCATTTACTACTGTCAATAATTTAAACTTCTCAGGCACTTAAGCAGATTATCCTGCTATTAAATACCTATTCATCATTTTCCAATCTAATCCGATTTCCATTGCCTTTTAGATTCCGATCGAATGAATCAGCGTTGGAGTTCTACAACTCCTACAACGGCATTGCCTACAACTCCTTGGAGCCTGACTCACTGTGCCACGCTGTTTGGGTTTCGGCGGTGGAGAGGAGCGAACATGGAGCCCCGCCATTGGGGCACACGGAGCTGCCCACCTGTCCAGTGTGCCTGGAGCGCATGGACGAGAGCGTGGATGGAGTGCTTACGATCTTGTGCAACCACGCCTTCCACGCCAGCTGCTTGATGAAGTGGGGCGATTCCACCTGCCCGGTTTGTCGTCATGTGCAGACCCCGGAACTAATTGGGGAGTCCGTGTGCATGGAATGCGAGGGAACCGACTCTCTCTGGATCTGCCTGATCTGCGGACATGTCGGATGCGGTCGGTACCAAGGAGGCCATGCTGCCGCCCATTACAGGGCCACCAATCACACCTTCGCCATGCAACTGGGCACTTCGAGCGTTTGGGACTACGCCGGCGACAACTTTGTGCACCGTTTGTTTCAAAACAAGACCGACGGCAAGTTGGTGGCCTCTCAAACCGAGAAAGACGAGCGCGAGGAGAAGATCGACTCCATGCAGATGGAGTTCACCTATCTACTCACCTCCCAGCTAGACACACAGCGAAAGTACTACGAGGAGCGGATGGAGAGGCTGGAGCAGGAGTGGCAGGGCTTCAAAGAAACCTCCAACGACTTGCAGCAACTGCAGCAGACCATGCAAAAGGAGAAGATTAACTTGGAACGCAAGCTGGCACAGCATACAGCCAAGTAGATAAATATAATACATAAGCAATGTTTTACAATTGTTAAACAACTATTTCGTTGCAGGTTAAAGGAAGTGCAGAAGCAACTCAACGAGGAACGTGAGCTGTCCAAGGCCCTGCAGACCAACCAAAGTTCCTGGCACGGCAAATACAAAGTCTTGGAGCAGCAGTACAACGAGTTTAAGCACAATCACGACGCCGAAGTCACCGACCTAAGGGAACAGCTCCGCGACATTATGTTCTTTTTGGACAATCAGCAAAAGATGGCAAACTCAGAGCTGGCTGGCGCCTCCATTACTGGAATCGGCGAGAAGGAGCCGGAACCGAACACCAGGCGCGGCAATCGGCGCAAAAAGTAAAATTTACCTATCATACCATGCACATTCATAAATGTATTTTGATTAAGAGCTGCATTGTTTACTCGATTCGCAAAACGAGTATATAAATTTAGTAACAGCTCTTTACATATGTGATTTCCTTTGTGAAGCAAAAACCCAAGGATAAAATATACCTAGTGTACGTGTACTACTACTCTTAAGCTTATTGAAAAGTATTTGTCTGAAATGTATTGCGTTTTAAGTTGGAATCAATTAAAAGTTTGAAGTGATTCTCCGATTTTGGTTACATTTTGAATGTTTTGTTAAATAGATTTCCCCATTTGGCGTTACTCGGCTGGAGGACATGTGTCCTCGCATTGGTATGTAGGGTCCGACAACTCCTGGGGATCCGCTGTAGGATCCGCTTGAAAGATATTCAGCTTCGCTTTCATGTCCTGCTCGTTGCGATCGAGGTTCATTAGATATGCGGCGATGAAGGCACGTGGGTCCTGCGGCGAATGAAGGTGTAGTTGTGCAAAGGCTCGCACCAGGACATCGCCCATCTGCTCCTTGATTTCGCCGGCCATCGAGTCCACGGCCTCGAAATTCTTGCCAGTTGGCATCCAGTCGTAGCCCTTGAAACAGCAGCACTCGCAGTGGACCTTCGAATCGGATTCCTTGAGCAACTTGAAGAAGGGCAGCAGTTGTTCCTCACAGGTTTTCAGCTTAGCCACTTCGCGAACGAAGCGCTTGTGCAAATCGCACACATCCTTTTCGCAACCCCGAATGACCTCCGCATCCTGGGAAAGGGTCGCCGTGCGCTTGATGTAATCCACAGTGTTCTCGTGGAAGGACTTGAATTTGCACTTCTCCTCGTTGTAAGCATACATACATTGGCGGGCATAAAGGATAATGTTGTCCCGCCGCTTTCGGATTTCCTCGCTCCGCCGGGTGAAATGGATTTTCACCTCGTCCAGGTTGTTGATCCGCTCGGCGAACTTGGTCATATCCTCGACGCTCTCGCACACCACTTTGCCCCTCTTTTCGTGCCCGCACTTCTGGTTCGCCTTCTTGATCTTGTCCAGCTCCGCCTGCAACTCCAGCTGGATGTTTCTCAGCTCCGTGTTCAAGCGCTTAACATCATTGTCATTGCAGATCAGCGCCTGCAGCATCTCGTGCAGGCAGTTCTTGTGCGGATTAGGCAGCTCTTCGGGGCAGCCAGCTAACATCTTGTAGAATTTATCTACTTGGAAGCCTCCCCAGCGGAAAAAATAATGTTTTCAAAATATATAATAATTGGAATGAAGGTTTTTGTTCTCGTTTATCAACAAAAAGTGTTATATTTTGTCTCATTACGTAACTTTCTTACAGCTTGCTAAGATCATTAAAGGAATTTTAACTTTCAGTCGGTAAAAAAATAAACAGTTAAATCTGTGTCTTAAAATGGCGTATTAAAAGAAACCAATTCTTAAGGAGATTTTTTAAAAAGCTTTGGAAGTCAATTTAAAATGTAAAAAAAGGGTATTTTTAAATTAATTTTTATTGTTCTGGTAACTACAGTACAATTTAATAAATAAATAATAACGTTGCCTTTACGTTGTGAGGGCTAATTCTGCTTTCTTTTTAAATTTTTTTGGTGGAACAGATTGTGCTGCAGGAGAGTCTTCCCGTTTATTAAACACTTTGTTTATTTTATAATCTAAATCTACTGCAAAAGTAAATCTAGAATTTATCAGTAAGCAGATTTACATATTCCAAAAAAAGAAACCCAATGCAAACCGGTTTGACTAGAAACCGAATCTTCACTTAAATTGCGTACCCACAGCAACAACAAATAAAGAACGTAAATAAAAATTTAATTTATTTGGCGGTATACAAAGGCAGCAAAAAATAAATAAAATTTCTTAATGGTCTCCCCAGAAGCCCCTCATCTCTTAACTTTCGTCTTTTGTTCGTCTACAATTGGCACACGATCAATCATTATGTCTCTTCTAACAAAAGTCTACCTTGCCAAAAAATTCTGCCTTTATGCATAGATTGATACCCTATGGCAGTGTGTCGTTGATATTGTATTATGTAAACTAATTTTATTATTCTTACACTTTCTAGGGTATGAGTGTTGGCGATTGCCCAATGTGCTCTTCAAACACAACTCCCACTAATGGACACACGTTAAGCTTTCGAAAAATGTGTTTTGGCACAAGTCAACCTGTTTGCAGATAAGGAGAAAATAGGAAAGGGGAGATCGATCTTTGACCATCTTGTACCTGTAATTAAGTTACTTAATTAATTTTACGCAAAACAAAGCTCATTTTTAACAAAACAACAAATAAAAGCTGACTGGGTTTTGCAAAATTGTTATTTCAGCGTCTGAATAAATTTTGCATAATTTTCGGTTTGTATATATTTTAAAGAATTTGATGGATATAATTTCGCTTATCTCCTGATAGGGTATAATTTGATTAATTTTCTGCGATGAGCTTGAAATTTTTGGCGGGTTAGTTCATTTCATTTCGATTTGATGAATATTGCTAGCGCTTTATATCTCAAACCGATTGCAAAAACATTTTTTTTTGCATCAGACGTTACGTAAAAATGGACCATAAGGTGGTTTATTTAAAAGTCATAATACTTGTTTCTTAAGTAATAGTTACCTATTAGAGCCTATCAAGTTTTTTTTAAATTTATATAAATCAGAATCTTTGTGAACCCTTTGAAGTTTACACAGCTGCTTGATGCATATTTCTTTTTTCCCTTGAAAGCGGATGCAAATTATAATAATTAAAATTATTGAATGTGACTAATGATCAAATATTGATTTAGAATCTTGCCCAAGGTAATGCAAATGGGAGGATACAAAGACGGAGTATGCAAAATAGATAAACAAATAACCCAAGACCCACAGAATCCAAAGAAACCCAGCTCGATCAAAAGGATGTTCTGAGCTGAAGGTCCGGATCTTAGGGTGGTTTCAATCATTCTTCTTATTTTTTAACAAGAAAAGTGACCCAGATTTCTAAGGATGCTGACGATTTAAAGCATGCAGGACACCAGAGTCCTGCGCATTAACAAAAATTTAAGAAAAAAATGAAATTTAAATAATTTGCGTATTTTTCTATTTGAAAGCACAGCGTTTTTTTCGATTCTGCCTCGGTATTTTACGGAGGATAAATGAAAAATGATGTTTGACCCTGTCCTGCTCGACTCACCCTTTTCCTTGATCACGTATGCAAATGCATAGCGATGTCCCGGGACACGATCGCAGATCCAACCCTTTGAGGACAACTGGCGTCGTCCGATCCGCGGACGTGTTGTGCATAAATTAAGGCATCCTTTTGGTCCTTTTGTTATCGCACCCTTGGTGGTTCGGCAAGGAAACGCTTCCGCATGGAAATGAGGCAAAAAAATCCGGATTTTTTTACTTCTTGTCTTCTGGCGTCTGCGTCTTTGTGCGCGTCCTTTATCCTTGATCGTCACCCTGAGCCTCGAGCCCTGTGTCTTGAGCCTTGTGGGTAGCCTGGCAGGGAGAACAAAAAAATCGTGAGAAAATTTCCAGCGCCAAATATTCAAATTAGGTAACCGAATGCCGCCCATTGCCTACTTTTTTGGGTGATTTTTTTTGTGTCCGCACCCAAAACGACGGGAAGAAAAAAAATCATCAGGATGCACGCTCATCCTTGCAGCCCTCATTGTTAGGCTCATCAGTTTTTTAACCCATTTTTTTTTTTTTTTGAATTCCCAAATTTTTTATGCTTGACTACCGAAAAAAGTCGTTTATAATTGGAACGCTTTCTGCTGTTTTGCCGCGTCTTTTCGTTTTTGAATACTGAATCCTGCGTGGCAAGTTTTTTTCCTAGTCCCAGTGAAAAGGATCGGCAACTGAAATTTTGTTACTGCAGTTTTTTATCCATTTTTTTTGTATTTTTTTCTCTTTTAACAAAAGGCGGCGCGAAAATGTTAATTAAATTTTTGTTATTGCGCCATTTCAGAGTAAAATCCTGTTCCCAATTACACTTATTTCAATTACGCAGTTAATTTTCAGTTTTTATCTTATGAATACTATTTTTTTTCTTTATTTTTAACACGTGTTGGTTGTCAAGGATTTGAATTGTAAATAGTAACTGATTGGAGGAAACAAAAAATGTTAGGTTTTTTCGAGTAACTGTAAACATTGGTGAGTGCTTAAAAAGCCTTTTCATAAAAAATTATTTCATGGGAAAACACTTTTTAATTGAATAAAAAGAAAAAAAAAACAATTATGGGAAAGTGGTTTTTGAAATAGAACATCATAGACGACAAAAAAATGGTTGTGAAATAGAAAAGTTTCGTTTTTTATCTCGATAACTTAAAAAGTTATTTAAATATACTTTCTGTTCTTTATATTAAAATCAATTACTTGGTATCCTTAAGGACTTTTTATGGATTGTCTTTAAAGTAAATTTTGAGATATTCCATCTTGACTAAACCTTTAAAATGGTAAGGTAAAGACAACAAAGAAATAACATACCGTGGAAATTGATAACCTTTATCCAACATCTGTTAGTCTTATGGGTAAAAATCTAGTTTTGGTGCGCATGGAATATTCATATATGTGAAGATAAGTGTATTCAAGATATAAAAACTTATGGTACTTTAAAATGATTAAATTAAAATATCCACCGAACACTTAAGTGCTTTAAATCCGCATAGATCTCACACAAAATCTGCAATCCAAAACGCTTAATTTAAATGCCCCAAACCTTTTTTTTGCAATATGCCAATATTCGCTTAAGTATCAATTACATAACAATCGAAAGGATAAAGGGAAATCAATCCAAACACGGGCACAGAAACCTCAACAATAGAAAAGAGTGTGCCCTTCAGTTCCAATGTGCGAATATCCACTCAGTGAAAAGGGTGCAAATATGGATATAAGAATAGCTAACGAAAATCGCATCAAATTTCACAATATCGCACCTTATTAGAATCAAACAATACCGTGGATCACAAATCGAAATTTGGCGAGGAGCAGGGAAATGCAAATGCCACAGGAACAAGAAGTTATGGGAAAAACATACACACCTTCCATTCTCCTTCGATCTTTTCGAGCCTCGGGCTAATCGGTGGAGTGTATCCGCATATTGTGTGCATTGTCTAATAATTTCATAAATAGTTTATCCAAAAGAATTGCTGAATGGCAAACCGACTAAATGCCATTCGCGAACGGGTTACGAGAGAGAAAGGACTCCTCGACGAGGAACTCCTTTCTTATGCTAAAAAGAGGACCTTCTCTGGGGTGAAAGGTTTTTTCTTTCCGAGGTCCGGATGTTTTGTGTGCAACCCCTGATGATCGGATCCTATCTATGTATATCTATCCCTCCCTAACTGCGTGCCTGTGTGTTTTGATTTCGGGTCTGGAGTTTAGAAACCATAAATCTATTGATGCCTTTCTGCAGCACCGAAATGATCTCTTGGCATTGAAAACGCATAGACAATATTCAAATGAAAGTCGTTTGCATAATGCCCTTTCCCTCAACTGAAAAATGAATCAATATACACTGGGAAGAATGGCAGTGGGGAGTTATAATACCAAACAAACAAAACTCTTTTAGTTTGGAAATTTAGTCGTGAAATTTTAAGAATCGTGAGTTTAAACAGAAATCGTCTTTCAAATATAAGTTCAGAAGGATGTTAATAGCATTTATACAACAGCTGAAAATAATTGTAAAAGTATCTAAAAACTAATATAATAAATACCCTAATTAAAATTTAAAGCAATAAACCAATTTTACTCAAATCTTAACTTTTAGATAGTTTTAAATGTATGGCTCCATTTAATTGACTGGGATATATTTTTTTAATAGATAAATCATGATGGTTTTTTTATAAATAAAAAAACCGTCTCCCTGATTCTCACAAGCATTCCAAGATTTTTTTAATGACCTTGCTTAGGAACTCACATCCATTCGGACAGATGCCACTCTCAAGGAAGCCAGTAAGAATCCTTGCCAGCCTCGGGCACTGCATTCTAATTATCATATCGATCAAGCTGCAAGTAAAAGTGACAGTCCCAGGCCCAAGGATCCTGCCAGGATAGAAACGATCGTCGGCCACATTTTTTCTCATAGTTAGCATAACAAAGCCTGATGAGTCGCACAACGGACGGAATCGTGATGATTTCAGCACCCAGAGACAAGACAGTCCCAAAGAAAAGGAGGTGAGGAGCCACCCCGAAGAATTGGGTAGCGGGACAATAACCACCGAACAATCCCATGATCATTAGTGCATCTATAATAATGCGCATTGATATGCTAATCTCGAGAAGACAGGCCTCGAATGGAGAGACTTCACTCCCTGAATGCTTCTATGATCGATGACGATCGCTGGCAGAAATCAAATCATTTATCAATTAAATTATTGGCAAACATTGGGTTGTAGAGCCCTCGAAGCGAAGGGTTCGATGTGCTAAAAAGTTTCTCCCCCATTCGCCTCATTTTTGCATTGTGGCCTTTGTTTTGAATTTTGCACAACTGCCAAATGATCGATTATCGATCGGCAAACCCTTTGTCCCGAGCCTTTATCCTCTGCGGTGTGTTTGCCAATTCGGCTTTGATGATTTGTTGGTTTTCTGTCAGCAATCCTTGTTCTGCCCTCAAGGGCGGCGTCCTCATTCTTTTCCGCCAAAGGATCGTGCCGAATATTCGCACAATCCTCGCCGAAGACACCGATCTTTGTTGACAAAAAAAGACAATTGCCCAAAATCCTTTCAGGGAGTTTATAGCTCTATCGACTTCATTGTTGTCTCCCTAACTCTTTGTGGGTGTCTGTCTATTCGCTACCAACAATCGCCATTGTGTGGCCAAGTTTTATGAGCTGTTTAGGAGGGTTTACTTCGCCTTTATTTGAGGCATAAAAAGATCATAAATTCCATTTTACTTTTTGTGTATTTAACACAATTTGCTGCTATTTATAATCCATTCAAACGCTGCGCTCAGCGAAGTTGGAGGCGAAACAAAAAACATAAATAAATAAAGAGAGAAAATATAATAATGGAAAAAGCACCTGTTAACAACCTAAACTGGTTTTGTGTGGGATTTTTAAATTTATTGTTTTATTAATTAGCTATAAAATTTGTTTTTTTCTGCGGATTTTTATATATACACTTCAGATATATTCATAGACTGAATGGAACTTTGAAGTTCCTTTGTCTTTCATATAAATATCGGTTTACTAATCCGTCAAAGGTCTTTAGATCTCCGTTCATCATCAGTTCATCACCTACCATCTTCAAGCCATCCCAGAATTTTGATTTACTCAAGTACTTTGCCGATTTGAAGTTGCAAATCGTGACCGCTGAAGACGACTCAAAATTTAAGCGGCGACGGCTGAACTAGTTATATATCAGCTATAGAATACCCGTATATGCAAAGCGTATTGAAATATACTCAATGCGAATCAAGTCAAATGAATCACTCTCATTAATCTTCGCTTCGATCAGCCGAAAATTTTAAGACTCAATCAGTAATCAATCATTATTCGCCACCAGAACGAAGCCAGTTATTTCGAAACGAGGGAAGAATATGACGGACACTTTTTAGCGTGGATTGACCCCCTAAATCGCTCCTCGAACTACGCCACTGTCTTAAGCCAAACGACAGCTGCGAGTGAGAGAAACTCGGAGATAAACTTCGATACGATCGTAGCCCTACATTTCCCTGTGGATACTGAGATTATATGGGGTGAACATAAATCTCTTATGTCGCCTCGGGCACAAAGAAGTTCTTCTTGAGGCTGCTAAGCGGATTAGGTTGCATTTTTCTGGATCGTTGCATATATTCGATCCGCTTTCGATTCGCTAATGAAAATGCAAATCTTGTGGATGATTTAGAGCACCAAAAAATTAGTTTTATAAATTATTTCAAACTTTATTGGTTGAGTTTTACATTTTCAAATCGGTTTCTCTTGCCTAGCGAGTAGAAAATATCCTTACTCTACTAGTTAGTTCATAAATTAAATAGTTTTATCTAGGGTTTAAGAGCTAAGTTGATACGTTAACATGTACAGCACATTTTTAAATACATCTATGTACACTATAAAATATATATGTATAATATTTTACTCTATCGCAGTACTTTGTACGGCTCCTAAATCTATTAAAACTGTGAGCTGTTCAAAGTATTATTTAAATAGTTCAGAGTTTTAATTTTAATATTGCTTATGTATACTAAAAAGGGAAAATAAAGGGCATTAATATCGTGTAGAAAATCCTGAGTTGACCTAGAAATTATATACTTCATTTTGCAGTTGAAAGGGTCTGGGGAACTGGAGACTGCAGTTGGTTTACTTGTTGGTTTAGGCAGTGATGAAGTTGATATTGGCTGAATCGTATACAATATTAATGTAAGGTTAGCTTTGTGCTTGGAAGGAATCCTCAGGAAAACCAGTTGCAGTCCCAGCTCCTACGCCACTTTCAACTTGCGTCTAACTAATAGTAGCTTAAATTTACTTCATGTTTAAATTGAGATGCATTCAAAGGATAATTCAATTTGTGATCTTGCGCTTTAAATCCAAACCAGTTCAAACGGTGACCCTAGGCTAATGTCATCGTTGCTGCCTCTTTTGGCCACGACCCGGCCTGTACTATTGCGCCTTCTCCTTGGCGGCGTTCACAGCACTCAGGCCAAGGGTTAGGTGGTCGCCAGCGATGAGGCCCGCCGCTCCTGGCTGGTGGGCATAGTTCCGGATCTGGTGCAGCGAAATCAGCTGCGTGGGGAAGGCAGCCGCCGCAGCTGCCGCATTCTGTTGATACAAATACGCGGCGGTGGCCGCCGGCGGTCCGCGATGCTGTTGAAGATGTGGCGGCGGTGGTGGAACCACTGTGGCCGCCAGCGGAGTAAAGGCCGACGATCCGGGACCAGACGACGGCTGATGCTGCGCCTGTTGCTGCTGCTGCGCCTGCTGCTGTTGCTGTTGTTGCTGCTGCTGCTGTTGGAGGTGATGTTGGGGCGTGGACTGCCGCAGGACGAGATCCTCGCCAGCGGCCTCCTCGTGAGGACTGTGCGAATGTCCCGGCGTGTCGGCCAGCCGCTGATGATGCTGCTGCAGCAGTTCCTGTTGCTGCTGCTGGTGCTGCAGGGAGGCAAAGTTGCCGTATGGCTGACCGCCGGCCTGCGGCAACTGCTGCTGAATGGCCTCCGCCAGCGAGGCCGCCGCACTGTCCGCTCCCATTTTGGCCCAGTAGGCGGCATTCACATCGTTCATCGCCTGGCGCTGCAGATTCAAGCCGATCCCACTCGCCGGAACGTGTTGCTGGTGGGCTGCCACTTGCGTTGTGTGCCGGTGCTGCTGCTTCTCCGCCTTTTCGGCGTGCTTCTGCAGATGCTTTTGCAGGTAGGTTTCCTGCGTGTACGACTTGCCGCACAAACTGCAGATGTGCGTTTTCAGATGCTTGGAGTCCTTGTGCTTGGGAATGTGCTCCAGCAGGGTCATCTCGTCGCCGAAGCACTTGTAGCAGGAGTTGCACTTGAACGGCTTGTCGGTCTGATGGCAACGCGAGTGCGACTGCAGATTCGAGAGCTGCGAGAAGGCCTTGGGGCATCCGGCGTGCCGGCACTTGTACGGTTTGTCGCCCGTGTGCGTTCGGATGTGCTGCTGCAGGTGCGACAGCTGCGTGAACTTGCGCTGGCAGATCTCGCAGCGGTACGGCTTGATCCCCAAGTGGATCCGCGTGTGCTGCGACAGGTACGAGGAGTTCGCGAAGGATTTGCTGCACGAGGCGCACTTGTACGGCTTCGCCTGGTCGCCATCGCCCCGGCGGCTCTCCTCCTCCGGCGAGGATCCGTTGCTGCCGCTCCCACTGGCACTGCTCATCTGCTGACGCGGCGGCGATCGACTCGGATCATACTGCAAAGAAATTGGTAATGCGATTTGATTCATTTTAGCGGTTGAATAATTTAAGTTTCAGTAAAATATTGAAGTTCAAATTTGTTTTGGTTTAAGTCCTTTCCATCGAGGGTTAAATTTGAATTTAAAATAAATTATTTACTAAACCCTATTTCGCAGATTATTATTATCTAAGTACAAGTTCATTTCAACTATCAAAAATTTTTAAAAAATTTTATAGGATGCTAGAATTTTGGTTTAGTAATAACTTTATTAACCTTAGTTATTGGAAAATCAGTAACCATATAGAACCCCGTTGCTATTAAATCCATTTATGTTTCTAAAATGATATTTTAATTGCAATTTATTAATATAAATTTGCAATGTAGTTCAAACGATATTAAAACTACTTTTGAGTCCTCTTCTTCGTAAACAACTTTGCCTAAATCCAATTCCTTCAAATGTAAATATAAAACCACTTGATTTGGACACTCACCTTTTGCTCCTGCTGCTCGTGTGGCGTGGGTGGCGAGTTGGGCGCACTGTAGCTGACCTTCATCTGCGGCGGGTGTTGTTGTTGCTGCTGCTGCTGTTGTGCGTGGTGCAAGTGCTGCTGCTGCTGCTGCGGATCGGGATGTGGCGGCTGCTCCATGACCATCTGCTGCTGGTGTGGCACTAAGCCATTCTTCAGTGAGTAATCCAACCTTTCCGCAACATTCTGGCGGAATTCGGTGATGTTGAAGGGCTTGTAGTCGTGGACCAATTGGGCCGTGGTCAAGTGACCCAGAGAGCGCAGCTGATCGATGGAGCGGTGCAGGTAATCGCCGCTTGGGACGCCGTTTGGCGCCGATGGCAGTTCGGCCATAAGCGGCGTCTGATGGCCGCCAAGGGTCAGCGGGCGGTAGGCGATAGTGCGAGCGTCCAGCTTGGGGGCGTGGTCGGCGAACTGAGCCTTGCCGGGGTGGTGCGTGGTGCAAGTGAAATGGAGCGGCGGTGTTCGTCGTCGGGAAGTCGACACTCCACTGGCGGGCTTACACAACTCGGCGCGTTTTTGTGCTGAAAGTACAGAAATATTGTAATTCTTGAATCCACAAAATTGTGCCCAGTCGGCACAAGTGCTTAAACTACTTTTCGATTCCGCTTTGGCTCTCCCCGCCTTGGGTACATTAATTTCTGCACATTAACATAAATGTGCATGAATTAATTAATTGTTTGTGAATTAAACGTGCTGCGCTGTGGAACAAAAGTCCACAAGCAGCTGAAGATACCGCTGAGCAACCCAGTAAAAAAGTTGCCAGTGTAGCGCAAAAAGCGAAAAGAATTAAAAACAATGCCGGGCAAAAAAGAGTTAGTCAACGGAAAAAATCACAAGATAAACAAAAAAGGCGCTTGCGGCCAGAAATTGTTGGTGACAACAAGATGGAAAGCGAAATGGAAATGGAATCGCTTTTGGGCTTAAGAACAAAAATCGCTGTTACTCTAAAACGGGGGGATGTGGGGTGGTGATGGGCTGGAAAAAAAGTCAGGGGCGCCATCGGAACGTGTCAACAACCTCGAGAACTGAATGCAACTACATTCACCAGTTTTTGAGGCGGTGCAGCAGAGTTTTTAATGGACCAATGATGTTTTTTGGGTGTAATCTTAACCTAGGTGTGAACATGATTGGCACAAAGGTCGTTTTAAATGTGAAAAAAAGTGAACACAACAGTTTTAACACAGCAGTTTATGAATAAGTCAAAGCCTTTACATTGCCTAATCTTTTTTAATTATCAAGAAAAAAAATTTGGCAAAAATCTTTTTTTCTTTAAAAATGCATCATATTTTTCTAAATTTCTTTGCGTTGATTCAACAAGATTGAACTCAAAATAAAACCTAAAAAAATTTCATGTTTTAATAATGATGAATTTAATGCGAATCAGATTTATAAAAATTGGTTATATACATATATAAAAAAGATTGTAAGACATTTCAAGGAAATAAAAAGTTATTTTAATCATTACTTTTGGATCGTAAAAATTAAAAATTCAAAAACAACTACATACATATGTACATATTTATATTTTAACGATTATTATAGTTTAATTCAAAATTATTTCAAGCATTCGATAATTTCAAAACCCGTAAGGTTTCAAACTGATAAACATAATAAAAGTATAAAACATAAAAATAAATGTTAGGCATAATTTCACTTTTCTTTCATTTTTCCTATTCAAAAATTTGTCTATAATGACTAAAAGTTTACTTTGGAATGGTTGTTTGTAACAGTTCTTTATTTAACTTAAATATGTTATTAAAGAGCATGTGAAATATATAACAAAAAGTTAAATTTTTAGTCTTTAGAAAATAATCAATAGCAAAAAGGATGTTTCTTTGTGTAAGACTGAAACTTTAGCGCGCAAATTTGATTACGACTTTTTGGTCGGGTGGGTGTTGACGTCAGAGGTAAATTCAATTTTTTGGTTGATTTTTTTCTGCCTGGTCAAAATAACCGGTTTTTGTTGTTGTTAATGCTGACGTTGGACAATTGAACAGCATGGTAGAAGGAATTTCGTGAAGAGGGGAAGGAGAGGGTAAATGTAATGCAAAAAAGGACGCGCCACTCGCTTGTTGCGCACATTCAGAGCGAGACGGGGCGACAAACAATTGTTTGCGGCTCAAACAATCGCAAAAATAAGAATAAGCGAAAGTGTCGGACCAACAAAACAGAAGCCGGAATCGTGTTACTACAGATCTAGAAACACGGAAAATCGGCCACTCAACCTGATAATGCAAATGGGGAATAAATAAACGCAGTCGGGCAGGCCCCAAAAATACAACAAAACGAACAACAAAAAAAGAAAAGAGATGCCCAAAAAGCATATAAATAAAATGGTATACACAAAAAACCTACACACAAAAAACGAATCAACGAAAATTAATTGAGCGCGAGCAGCTGAAAAACAAAAGAGAGCAGAAGAGCGAGCAAGAGCGCAACATAAACAAACGAGCGGGCGGACAAAAACAACAACAATAGCGCCAACCGCAATTTGGACCGCTCTCTCTGTCTCTCTTTCTCGTTGGGGGCGACATGTGTGCGAAAAAAGCAGCGAATGATGAATACAAAAAAAAAGTGGAAGATAAAAAAGACACGACGGCACACAAACATAAAAAACCGCCACCGAATGAATGGGAACGAACATTAAAAAGTCAAACAAGCGAAAAAACGAATGGTCAAATAATGGAGCACGTTTGCGAAAATTACAAATTATTCCATCTTTATTATTTGTTGACAGACACATTTGACTTACAAGAAAAACGGTTTTACATATTTACATGATTTTAGAGAAGTGGGAATACGGAACTATGCCCAAATATTGTTGACCAAGGGAACAGTGATGCAAAATTAATTGATTCAAAATATAGAATTTTTTTTTAATTTTATGATTTATCTTTGGTCGAAGCCAAATACATATGTATTATAAAATGTTTAGAAGAAATTGTAACTTATAATTTTTTAAGATTGTACATTAAATAACAATTCATGTCGTTAAAGACATTACTTTAGAGGTTATTTGATTTATTTTATTTAAATAATTTGAAGAATTTCTTTTTATTAGTGCAGCATAATTTTAGATTTTTAAACGACATTTAAAAAACATTCCCACTGTGCTTTGAGCGCGGGAAAGAGAAACAAACACGCTCAATCCCCAAAGTGTTTGTCCAATAAGGCAAATAAATAAAACATGCTCGAGCATCGTAAAATACTTACCAATTTAAAAGTGCCTTTTATGTGGCGGCTTTGCGGCCGATGCAGTTGTTGCCCCCTATTTGTGGGCCAACTTTTGTTGATATTTTGGAGCACGTGTTCGCCGACTGATTGTGGGTGGCTGCGGGTGCGCTCACCTCTTTGCACAAAACACGCACACACTCTCGCTGAGGTAAATTGTTTGTGGTTTGCGGCACTCTATTTTCGTACGTTTGTTTGTTTGTTTTTGGCGCCCCCAGCGATTGATTTATTTTGCGCAAATTGGCGAATTTAGTGGGGATTTGCGTAGTTTGCTACGTTCTTCTTTGCGGTCGGGCCTCTCTTTCGCACACAGAAGAGACTCTTGAGTGGCAACAAGAAAAAATGGCCGCGCACGCCAAAAATATACACACACACACCAACGCACACCAACACACACGCGCTCGCAAGTTTCTGTTTTTTCTGCACTTGTGCTTTTTGCCCCTTTTTGTCACCGTTTTTCGGACTCCCGAATTTTTTTTCACCGACCAGCAACGATTAATTGCAATTACAACAAGCACGTTGTAAAGCCGGGGGGCGGTAGGGGGCGTAAGCTCCGCTCTTCGGTTGTTTACGTCGCGGGAACACAACGGAAGCACAGAAACTGAGCAAGAGGAGCAAGAATAACTGTTCGTGTTCGAGTCGAAAAATGGAATGAAAAAAATCACAGCGGAGAGCGTGTTTTTTCAACCAACGTCGGAGGAGGGAAATTGGGAGAGAGACACGCTCTCTCGCACACATAATGAAAAAAGGCTTGTTTATGTTTTTTATGTGTGTTGCTGGCTCTCTACCGCTCTTTCGCTCCCATGCGCTCTCTCTGGATTCCGGTTTTTTGTTCCCGGCTCTGGCGCCTCCAAGTTTTTTTTGCTGGTTTCGGGGAGGGAGGCGTGCTCGTTTTTTTGGAATACCGAATTTAATTGGGCCAAATTCTGGCGAGAGAAAATAAAAAACATTCAGCCATCCGCATCCATCCCTACATCCTTATCCTTCCGGGTGTCTTTGACCCTTTCGATTTCACCGACTCGATGCGGGATAGTAATCCTATGAGAGTTTACTGGCCAACTAAGCTTAGTTTGTATTTAATCTACATATGTATTTAAAAAGATTAGGATACCAGCATTGTTTACTTCTAATATGTACATATGCACATCAATACTAAATGTGAAAAGCTTGATATTTGGCACTCTAAGAGTTTTATTATTTTTAACTGTTTTTAACTTATCCCAATGGACCACATTTACCAATATTACCTTTTTAACACAAAGTTAAAGTCCTTTTGAAATCAATAAACCTTATAAGCCTCATACAAAATGTTCTTGAACTATCTTTACTTAAAGCTAATGTCAGTCTATCAAAAACAACAAAATTTACCTGTTTGCTATCTTTTTGTATGATCTTGTATTAAATGTTAACTCGTAAGTAAAAATATTATGATATAAAGCTCAAATTGTTTTTAAAGAATTATGAATCCCAAAGTTTGTTTAAAGAGACTACAAAAGATCTACTTATTTTTATAAATCTTATGAATTACTTAAATAATTTAAATGATTATTAATTTTATTTTTTACTTATTCAATTGTATATATTTTGCAATAGAAAAAACTTACAAGAAATTAAAGAGGGCCCAATAAGGATTAAACACGCTAAGAATTTTAAACTTTAACTGGTTCCCGCCGAAAGTGGGAACAGTAATTTTTTGATTTGGCAGTGCTTAAATATATATTATCGATGTTTCATGAAAACAAGTATCGATAGTATATGTGCGGAACGGTCACACTGATAGAAACAACACACACACGTGCACGTGACGAAAATGAGCAAATTTGAACACTCGGTAAAGGTTCCCACCCAATACAAGGCGACCGCCAAGATTCTGAAAAAGGCAATAGAGCAGCACTTGTCCATTAAGACCCTAATATCGGAGGAGAAGCATGCCGTAAGTGGGCTTGGCCCCCGGGCCAGGGATCAGGCAAATATATCTTATTTCCTTCATCTCTTTCGAACTTGCAGCGTGTTCGCAGTTTGCAGACGGTGCTGAAACTATATAGTGACAACCGGCCTACCGTGGAAAACGCCATTGAGGAAACAGGACTGCTCCAGGATAACCCAAATCTGGATGCCTGTTTGGCCAGAGTATTAGTCACCGAACTGGTCTTTGGCAGGAAACTACTAAACGGCGAGAGTAGGCCCGTCCAAACAGTGCGAAGTTATAAGGAGAAATTGCAGCAGGCGGTCAGTGGATCCGGGTTTCAGAAGAAAGGCAGGTTCACCTTCTTTCAACTACCAGTATTAGTCGGCTGAGATGGGCAAGAAGAACAAAAACAAGCAGCCTGAGACGGCAGCAGTTGTTGAAAGTGAGCCAGTGATTGAGCCTCCGGTGCAGCAATATCCGCAGGAGGAAGACACCAGTGGCGAGGTCTTCCTGTGGCTGCTGGCCTACAGTGTGCTCATGTTCACTTTGCCCTTCTTGGGCTTCTACGGCGTGCGCAGTTGGCTGCAGGAGTCCTTCCCTCATCTTGACCTCTTTACGGTCAACTGTTGGTCGGTTCTGACGGCTGTTTTGGTGGTTAACCTAGTCGTGGCCATGTACGTGCTGAAGGCCTTCCGAGAGAAGCCGCCTCCGCCTTTGGAGCATGTGCGGGAGGATGAGGAGGAAGAACCTGAAGCCATTGAGACCAAGAAGGAGCAGTAACTTTCATAATCCAACCAGCTTCATGTATATGTCATTTAAAAGAGAAGCTTTCCACAAAAGATCAGCGGAAAACCATTTCCAAACAATATCAAACATTTTATACCTTTGGCATTGAAGCCTCCTAAGGATCCAGTAACTCCATTAAATCTAATAAATCCAATTTTGACACACTTTTAAATGCTGTTTTGCTCTTGTTTACCCTAACAGAACCCAATCCCCGCTATGTGCGCATCAACACGAATCTGTATAGTTTGGCGGAGGCCTTAGAGTACCTGGCTCGTGAGGAATGGCGTCGCAAGGAGCTGCCGTCGGATGCCAGCTACCCGGATTTTCTGGCAGCGGTAAAAACCCTCGAGGAGGATGAATTCATTACGGATATAAATGTGGAGGGCGTGCTCGTCTTCCATCACAAATCCAGCCGGTTCTGGGTAAACCATGAATTAGTACAAAGCAAGAAGTTCATACTGCAGAACAAGGGCACAACTTTGGCTGCTGAGTTATTGGCTCCTCCGCCGGGGGCCACTGTGCTGGACATGTGCGCCGCACCCGGGATGAAGACCCTGCACATCTGCAACGTGATGCAGAACAAGGGACGCATCTACGCAGTGGAGCAGTCCACCGATCGCTATCGTACGCTGTGTAAAATCACCGAAGAGGCGGGTTGCAAGATTGTTACCCCCATTTTGGGTGATGCACTGACCATGAGTGAGTAGTTAAAAAAAAACATAGAGAACCTTATTGTACATATTTCTTTTGCAGATGCGAAAACCTGTCCCGATGTGGAGTACATTTTGGTGGACCCCAGTTGCTCTGGAAACGGAATGCAAAACCGCATGAGTGTGTGCGAAGAGGAAAAGGACGACAAGCGGCTCTACAAGCTGGCGGGATTGCAGATCAAGATCCTGAGTAAAGCGATGTCCGATTTTCCGAACGTCAAGCGCATCGCCTACTGCACCTGTTCTCTGTGGAGGGAGGAAAATGAGCAGGTGGTTCAGCGCTGTCTACAGATGAATCCCTCCTTTAAGATGCTGAGTTGCAAGAAGGCGCTGCGCAACAAGTGGCAGAATGTGGGCGACAAGGACTACCCCCAAATTGGCAAAAACTGCCTGTACTGTCGGCCAGATGAGGATCTTACCGATGGCATCTTCCTCGCCCTTTTCGAGAAACGCCGCGATGGAGACTTAGATTAGTTCTAGAAGCAACAAAAATAATCCCGCTCTTAGAATGTAAACTAAACCTTTATTTGGCACATACGCCACAGAATTGTTTCAACTTCAGTTTTGTACATCTTTTTAAAAAAATAAAAAATATTATATCATATAATAAGCTTGAATACATGTGTAAAGATTGATTGATGAGAACACGATTAAATAAATATATAACATTTATATAGATATGTGTGTTGGAATGAACATCAGTAATACATGTAGTAAAAAAAATGATTCGCTTTTTTTATCAAAATCTGAGTATGTCAAAAATTTAAAAACTTTTACAATGAGAATGTAAATGTAGCCGAGTTTAACAAAAGTGTTCCTTGCTCTTTCCTTTAGCAAGTCTAAAATTAAATTCTTATTTTTATTACGATTGACAGTTCGAAATTCAAAGTGTTCTTATTCAAATTTTAGTATAAATTATATATCAATTGAAGATATATCGAAATTTTTCGGCCGCAAACGAACATTTCAACAAAATGAGGGCGACGAGTTGCAGACCAGTTTCTTCCAATAACTTTCGGATTGTGAGATGTTTCTATCGGCCACGACGATTGAACAAATATAACGATATTGTGAGTACTCTTCCATTACAAAATTGGTTTCCTTCTCACAGGAACAGACATACATTTTTGAATTAATGACTTTGATTTGAGTGATCGATCGTTGACTATACTATAAAAAAATATAGGCAAGAGATATGATTCTAAAATTCTATAAAATCGAACGCGCCAGGCGCTTTTTAAATGTATCATCTATCTGGTAAATCCAGCATCGATCGGAACGCGTATATATATTTTGAGTTATATAAACGCTTCAGAAGCTGCCAGAGCCTCTGCTCCTGCTGGTTGTGTTCTTTACACCTTCATCTGTTGCTTGTAGTAACTGCTTTTGGCCAGGCGGAAAGATTCCGCCTTGATCGCATCCTCCATGGTGATGATTGGCTTCTTAGGGCAGTACTTTATGGTGTGCGCCGAATCCCCAGATGCCCCGCATATGGGACATACGTAGGTGCGCAGCTTGGGGCACAGCACTCTGTTGAAGTTGTCGCGCACTGTGTGGCTGTTGACCACCGCCTCAGGTTCGTTGTTGTTCTCACAAAAAACGCAGTGACGGCTGGTCTGTAAGAATAAGGAAAAGCATTAAAAAAAGGAGAGTTTTAAGTCGTAGTTGTTTTAAATAACGGTAAAAGAAAAGAGTTAATTGTTTATTTTTATTAAAGTTAATTATTTTACTTATTTCTTTGCCGTATTTCCGAATTGTCTGACAATTCAACTAGCCAAAATTAAAAGTTTTGTATTCAGTCAATGTAAGTCGAAAGCGTATATTTAGATTTTACTTTATAACGGTTAACCAAAAAAATAAATTAAATGTTATTCGACGCAGCTAAACGTTTTAAAAAGTTAAAGTTTAAAATTAAACTTCAAAACAAGATCTTAAAAAAGTTGTAAAGAATCATTTCCACCACTCACCTCTTTGGCCTTGTTGTTGTTGCTGTTGAAACGCTTGTGCCCCTTGTTAAGATTGTTGCTGGGAATGGTGACAGCTCGCAGTTGTTCCGCCTGCATGGGCAGTCCCAGTCCCATTCCCACGCCGAGATTCGAGCTCATGGCTACCGCTGCCGACTGTACTTGCAATCCTGCGGTATTTGTGGCGGATGGCACGTAAGACATGTGGCGCCACACGTTGTTCAGTTGCTCCCTGTAGTTGTGCAGCCAGGTTTGAGTGGCAAGTGGGGCGGGCACAGGCATAAAAGTAGCTCCACTGGCCAACGGCTGGGCGGAATTTCGTCCCAGTGGGAGCGAGATTCCTTGCTGCTGTTGCTGGGCCGCCGGCGGAGGAGTCTGCGACTGCGGCGGCACACTACAGCCGTAGGAAAAGCGGCTTATGTCGTCGCTCACATAGCCGTTAGCCGCGAATTCCTGCATCACATCCTGCGTGGAGCCAGTAGCGTTTTCTGCAAATTGGTAGCTTTTAAGTACGGCGTCCAGATCAATCAGCGGCATGTTCTTAGTTTTTCAGAGCGTCCGAGGAGTTTAACATTAAAGCTCGTTAGTTGCAGAAACGGGAATGAAACAGCTAACTCGTAGAATCGTAAACAGAACAGAGAAGAAAAGCCGGAACAAAAATGGCCTTCTGCATTTTTAGAAGAAGGAATAGCGCAAGTGTTTCCAAGGTCAACGACCGAAATGCCAGAGGCTTTTGAAAGTATTTCTTAAAAGGGATAGCTATAAAGCTTAGTGGAAATGGTCACTTAAAACTGAATATGATTTCTGAATATGATATGATGTACATTGAAAATGGCAAATGCAAAATTTTAAGATTACTTTACGAAGATTTATTATTATTTTGCAATAAGTCTCCAATTGGAGTGCTAAGCACTGTGCTTTTGTGATAGCCCTTTAAACTAAGCCGCTGGGTTTTGAATAACTGTACTTGCACAGCTAGTCGTCTTTCTCACGCCCGTTGTCTTTCCTATTCCTTTTTTAACGACGCCATTTCGCTAATTCTCTTTCTCTCTCGTTTCTTCCTTACCTGCTGCGCCCGTCGTCAGCTGCGCAAAAATTTTTAAGGATCGCGCAATCTCGTCCTGTTGCTGGTGACTAGAGCTGACCGCCGCCGCCGAGGCCGCCAAGGCCAATTGGTGTTGGGCCAGGGCGAGTTGTTGTTGCTGCTGTTGGAGCAGCAAGTGGTAGTGATACTGCCGTTGGAGCAGCATCGTATTGGCAGCGGCAGCACTGTCCGACAGCAGGGGGAAATGCGTTGTCTGGGCTGCAGTGGACGGGTCAGGGGTCAGCGGCGTCAGAGGAGTACTGGGCGGGCTGAGAGTGCCCGACGAGTTGGCGCCACTGTTATCAAGATACATGTCTTGCAGGCCCAACATTTTTAGTCCTCCCCTTGCGTGGAATGCAGTAAAGTTGTCCTAGAAGGTAGTCTTTTTGTAGGGCACAGCATGGGGATTTCCCGAGAATGGGACTTACTGCGGCGCCACTGCTTTCCAAGTTGCTGCGGAACATGGCGAAAGTTCGGGTCTAAGTAACCGTTATCGCGCACTCTACTTTCCACAGATCCTCACCCAAAAACCAAGCGGGATTTATTAAACTGAAGTATTCGCGATACTTCTTTATCTAAAAAAAAATGTACAATGTACTCAGTCTTGGGTTTAATCGTGGCGCAGAGTTAGAAAAAATTTAATTTGTCCCGGAGACAACTGAAATCAGGCAAAAAATACGTGGCAGGAACAATCTCGGCGAAATTCTTAGAATTTCTGACAAAGCTGCGCGCGCCAGTTAACGGTTTTAGTCTAGAGGTGGATGGCGCAGCGATATATGATGCAATCGATAAGTCTTTTCTACTTTACAAACCCTTGTTTTTGACATTTAAAAGGCGTCTAATTTTTCATTTTCTAAATACACAAATTTGTTTCTTTGTAATTAAATTAAAAATTTTCCGCCTAAAAAATCTACTTATTAATTCAACAAAAACATAGCAACTTAGCTTGACTTTTCAATATGAAATACAGAAAAGATCCCTAAAACTAGTCACCCACACGCGCCACACATCCTTCAAAAAAACAAGGATACACCATTTAAATATCGCGCGCAAACGAATGCAACGCATGCTATCGGACCGGGACTATCGGACCACTGACGAATCGAACTATACACGCGCAGCAAACTTCGGACGTTTACCAGCACAGGCACGCGCTGAGCGAAGAGAACAGCTGACTTGCGATACGTGCGTGTTTCGCGGCAGGAATTACATAAAGTTTTGAGCCTCTGACGCCATACTCCCGAACATTCTCCATCGGTCCAACTCCCTGCGAAAGATCACCCAATCCCCACCATGGTAGGTTCACTCAGGTCCTGGGTTTTGCGGGTGTGCCAAGAGAACTGCCCTACATGTGCACATTTCGAGGTTAAAACGGTTGAGCTTTCAATGATTTTTCTCCTTGCAGTACAGAATAGCTGCCCTTGCGCGGGATCGCGCGTGCTTCTTCACCTGCCAACAGGCCTCGCAGAATCTGCAGCAGCAGCAGGTTAGACTTGGGCTTATAAAACCCCAAGCAGCATCCGGATTAAGTCATGACTTTATTCCGCAGCCGCGCTTTTACAGCGCGCCAGGTCGCAGGGCCGGCTTCTTCTCGCAGTTCTTTGACAACATGAAGTCTGAAATGGACAAGAACAAGGAGATTAAGGACAACATTCGAAAGTTCCGAGAGGAGGCCCAGAAGCTTGAGGAGTCGGACGCTTTGAAGTCGGCGCGACAAAAGTTCAACATTGTCGAATCGGAGGCTCAAAAGTCATCAAGCAAGCTGAAAGAGCAGCTGGGCGCCATCAAGGAGCGCGTCGGCGATGTTCTGGACGACGCGAGCAAGTCGGACCTGGCCAAAAAGGTCACTGAGGAGCTGTCAAAGAAGGCAAAGGGCGTCAGTGAAACGATCTCGGACACCAGCGGTAAACTGGGCCAGTCGGGCGCCTTCCAGGCGATCTCTAATACGACGACGATCATCAAGAAGGAGATGGATAACGCTAGCATAGACAATCGGGTCTATCGCGCGCCCGCCCAGCTGCGCAAGCGCGTTCAGGTGGACCTGAGCGATAGCGATCGCGTTTTCGAGCCGAACACAGAGGCAACAGGTATGTGTTAAAAATCTGACACTAAGAAGTTCAAAGTTCATTCTGTATTAACCAATTATCTTTCCATATCGCAGGAATGGAGCTGCACAAGGACTCCAAATTCTACGAGTCTTGGGAGAACTTCAAGAACAACAATACCTACGTAAACAAGGTGCTCGACTGGAAAGTGAAGTACGATGAGTCCGAGAACCCCGTGATCCGCGCCTCCCGCCTGCTAACCGACAAAGTCTCCGACGTGATGGGCGGCCTCTTCTCGAAGACTGAGCTGTCCGAAACGATGACGGAGCTGGTGAAGATCGATCCGAGCTTTGATCAGAAGGATTTCCTGCACGACTGCGAAACGGACATCATTCCAAACATTCTAGAGTCGATTGTCCGCGGTGATTTGGAGATACTGAAGGACTGGTGCTTCGAAAGCACGTTCAACATTATCGCCACGCCCATCAAGGAGGCGAAAAAGGCCGGTCTGTACCTCGACTCGAAGATTCTCGATATCGAGAACATCGAACTGGCCATGGGCAAGGTGATGGAGCAGGGCCCCGTGCTGATCATCACGTTCCAGGCGCAACAGATCATGTGCGTTCGGAACCAGAAGAGCGAGGTGGTCGAGGGCGATCCGGAGAAGGTGATGCGGGTGCACTACGTCTGGGTGCTGTGCCGCGACCGCAACGAACTCAATCCCAAGGCTGCCTGGCGGCTAATGGAGCTGTCCGCGAACAGTCAGGAGCAATTTGTTTAGCGCGCTACCACGCGCTTCTTTTTTACCGAGCCGTTTAAGTTTCCCTCATTCTCTCATCCACAAAACGAACGAAAAGATCACTGGACACTGAGCATTGACGACGAATTGACCACGAACTCGACCCGCAGGACTCTACCAAGTGTGTACAAAGGTTTCGCTTTCGATTGCTTTGAAAGTTTTGTCCGCCACTAGTCTGGACTGCGTTCGCCCGGCAGGGGCTGCTGGTCGGTCCCGGGAAAGATTCCCCCACAAATTCCGGGCGCAGCAGGCTGCCGGCTTCGGCGCGGCTCATCACCCCCAAACGACGCCCCCGGTCGGACGTTCCTTGCGGCCACGCCCCCCACCGGTCAACATCCGGCGGAGAGTCGGCAATAACGATCGGTGCGGGGCTTGGCCGTCCGGATCGTGGTTCCTCCGCTGGTGTCCTCTCCAAATCTAATTACGTTGAAGCTTAAAGTGCTAACGCCGGCATAGGCGTACAAGTAGTAACCATAAGACAAATTGTTGAGTATAGTTGAGTTTAGGTATTTTAAGGCCCCACCCACCCCATCCCGACCCCATTATCTAGATCCCGACCCTGCCTCTTGTAAATATGGAATTCGCCCAGGGCGGCTTGGGCACGGAAAATTGACTGTACACACAGAATCCAAAGAGTTGTACGTACTCCCGAGCGCCACTCAGAATGTCTAGAAAAAAATAAAAACTTCAATATTTTTTACTACCATTGTAGAAACTGGTTAGTTCTTGAGATATAAGTGTTATGTTGCCTTACCCTTTTCACGGACATCCAAGGCGCCAGGCTACTATGTGTAGATAATAAAAACTCCAATACTTTTACATGATCTATTTACTTATTTGGGGATTTCCGGTACATTAAACATATCTTCTTAAACTGATTTACTAGGAACACTTAGTGGTACTTGTAACAATTCACTCAAAAGTTTTAAAAACAATATTCAAATGCAGTGATATTGCTGTTATTATTTTGATTTTCCTAATTTGGGTTTAGTATTGGGTTCTTATTTAAAATTGAAAAATCTTTAAGGATTTTATTACGCAAAAAGACATATATGCTGTTGAAAAAAGGGATAGTTTGTTGCTCAATTAAATATATGGTTTGATAAATAATAATAACTTGTTGTAAACAAAGGTAAAAGTAAAAACGGACTAGTGAACAATAGTAGCATTTTATATATGTATTTATGGTTAAATATATTGTAATGTAAAGAAAGATATATCTTTATCGACTACCCCTAACTTCAGTTAACATCAGGTATCGCGGTTACGATAAAAGCAATGTTATTGTTTGGGACCTTGATCGGTTAACATGGCTAACCGAGCTTTGCCAGTTGGGCCGACTTCGTGGGGCTCTCAGTTTCTCATTTCAAAACGAAAGCTCGGCGCGAACGCACGCAAAACTCGACAGCGGAAAATAAATATTTATAAGTGGCCCCGCAGAAAAAGGCAAGCGCTTATTCATCCAAAACACCCTGCGATCGAGAGGCGCGTAACTTGTGCGTGTGTGATAAGAAGCTAATTGATAAAGGAAGTGACGGTGCCCGCATATCATTCAACATCGCAAAATGGCTCTGCGAAAAAGTTTGGCCTTGTGCAGCGCACTGCTCTTGGTTTTGCTGCTGGCTGAATGTAAGTACCAAAGCCACCAAACAGATATATGGTATATCTGCAGTGACAACGGCCATAAAAGATAGATTGCCCCGGACCCGATCCGATATTTCCACTTCTGCAGGGAAACTAGTTTCGAGCGCAGCTGGATGAGATAGAGCGACCACTTGGCTAGACAGTTAACAGTTTACGGTTCACCCTTTGCCTTAAGTGCCTGCCAAGACCGAAGACCGAGCACTGAAGACCGAAGACCGAACACTGAAGACCAGGTCCGGTTCTTCGGGCTGTGTAAGCCAGGCTTACAGCGCATAAAAATGGGGGTTTTATTGAAAAGGGGACCGCCCGCCGTTTCATCGCCATATATCGTCGCCGTCCATTCCATCAAGGTCTCGCCGCCAGGTCGCGAAATTAAATTGCAAGACTTTAATTCCCGGGGACTCCAGCTGGCTCGCAATGCAGATAAGATTTCGCCAGGGCTTTTGCGTTATATGGTCAATGATTGATACGCAGTTATTGCAACCAAGGAGTAGAAGTCTAAATAATAGCTTTTGGTTTTGTGTCCATTCAGGAAAGGAAACGTAAAAGGAATGAAAACAGATTATTTTTCGATCAATTGCTTATTATTCTTTTATACCATTTAATTTTCTAGAAACTATTAGTAGCTTCTTCTAGACAGTAATTAAATATTTCAATTTTATAGGTAGGAAAAGTTTGGTGAAACCTTTTTTATCATAGCATAAAATTAATCTCTTTAAAAGACTTCTCGTTTTTCCCATAAAACTATGAGTTTGCTCATTATATTACCTACTAAACTATTAAACAACTTGTTGCCAAAAACAACCGGTGTTACCTTGAAGCTTAAGAGGTGTCAGAACTTTATAATCATGGTCTTAACTTATAGTATATGCCCTTAACATCTGAGCAGCAGGTAAAATATGATAAGGAACTCGAGACTCTTTGACACTTGTCGAAAGTGGATCAAGTTTTCTTTGGGACATGGCTTTGGCCTATCGTCACGTACCAATATCAAAACTGGGTGAATTACGAATGACAAATGCAATAAATTGCAAGACGTCATGTGCTCATTGGAATTTGTTCAGCTGAAGTGGAATTTTTTGGGAGCTTCCCAACAAGCGCGCGTTTTTGACGCGACTTGCAAGCGTTTTATGCGAATCTCATGGCGTTCGGCATTGGCAAATCGTTTGCGGCATTAGAAATGTGTTTATTGTTTGATTTGTGCTATATAGTATATATGGACTGGTTTGGCAAAAAGCAAACGTATCCACACACAACGTAGTGTGGATGGGTACAGTTAAAGTTAATAAAATAGGAGTTTATTTAAGAAAATTTTAGAAAGAAAAGGTATAAAGGTACCTATTTGAACAGGTTTTTTCCTAACTGTTATTAAAAAAGAATACATCAGCTTAATTCAATTTACATGTCTGTACATTGGGCATGCACAAAACTTGTTTTTGTCTTTGATTAATTAGCTCTGTTGAATAAAACATTTTTTAGAATGATTAATACCAAGAAAATAGCCGCGATTGTGCCAATTAATGCCGGTTCTTAAGCTCCAACACGCTTTCATCTTTGTTTGCCAAGAAGCGTAGCTCCGAATTCAGTGTCAACTGATAAAACCTGAGAGGAAAAATAAAATCGTATTGTCTGGGTCTGGTTAGTTCTGAATAAAATCAGAGCTGGCTGATAAGCAAACATATCTGGTCGTGTATTTAATTGCCCGCAATGTGGCTGAAAGGTGCTAGTTGCGAAATCTCGGCGCAAATATTTGCTCTTCCCCCGAAATGAGGAAGATCTGTGCAGGTAGTCTTATAAGCTGTAACCAAATACCCGGCTAATTCAAGCGAATGCATTCACTCATTTCTGGTTAATTGCTTTCTCTTTTTAGCCCATGCCAAGCCCTCGCAGGATTTAAGCACATCACAAACGGAGTTAAGTGATCTGAGGGGAGGCGGCAGCCTTTCCACAAATAAGACGACAGCTGTCGTAAAGGTGAGTTGGCCAACAACTGGGGGTAACTGGTAGCTGGTAGCTGGTAACTGGTAACTGGTAACTGGGCCAGGCTGAGAGCCGGGAGACAGAACGGGACAAAGCCGAAACCACTTCGACTGGATGGACGACGCACTGACGCACTCAGTAACGAAATGCCCCGCCGACGAGGTGAAATACGAGCCAATGCATTTCGGGTGTATTTTTACTCAGAACCGGAAATTTACGCTTTAAAAATGTTTATTTATTTTCACTTTGATTAAATGCAAAACCAACCGCAAGACACGCGCGGCGTTTGCCTTTTAGGGATCCCAAGAAACATTTATAAAAACGACGAAGAGAAAAAGCACACGCAATGAAATTTTGCATAAAATTAAAGAAACAGCGGCTATCACACGGCGATGGGGCTTTTCATCGTCTTAGTCACGAAATTCCATCGACCGGGGGTCTTATAATTGAGAAAGACAATAAACCGACTCCCCCACTTTTTTAGTTCGGTGAGTCATGGCGGCAATCGGATTCTAGGTAATTCCTCGGCTGCCGTGACGTTTGAATGCCAGATTTCTAAGCCCCACTTCCCCACCTGGGTAATCCCCGAATGTCTGCGATCAGATTACGATTTTCGAGATCTCCCAACTCGATCTCGTGCTTGTCACCTTTTTATATGGCCTGCCTTATAGTCGTTAGTTGTAAACAAATCGGGCAATTACACGAGATAAAGTAGCTAGCGGCAAATAAGATTGAGACAAAGTCGAAAACCGGTCACGTAGTCGTAAAAATATTGTTATTGCCAACTGCAAAAGATCACATCTCGACCCCTTCGGTCATCGGGGCCAGCAATCTACAAAGGGTTTCTGACATGCAATTACCAGTGAGAGTGATTTCTGGAAGTCCGTGTTTTGTAAACAACTTAGTTGCGGCAGCAATTAACATTTCTTATGGAAAAATGTGGGCAACAGATTATGCAAGATAAGCTCTGCCGACCTTACTGATAGCATGGATTTCATACTTGGCTAATTTAAACAGTTGTAAGCAGAGCTATCTCCACCTTAGTAAAAAATTTCACAGGTGTTTGGCAATCAAAACACGGCCGTTATCACTTTGACTCAGGTAATGGAGACTTGAGTAAGACGAGTCGCCTTTTAAGTGATGATTAATATGGGAGGAAGTTCGGATTACGCAAAGCCTCGAAATTTTCAGTTTGTGAGTCAGCGGGGGCTTTGATATCGTTGTGGTAATATTTTACTTTCAATTGTTAGTCTCGTTTCCAAGCCAACTATTTGCTTTAATAGTACACTAAGAACTTAAATTGCTCTCTGTAAATTAAAGAATTCCATAAATTGGAAATTAGAATGGAGTTTTAATTAGCTCAATTTTGAATGACATTTTTAAAAGTTTATGATCCTTAAAATCTTAATTATTGTACATCTTTTTTGTGTTTAAAACTTTATGTACTTAAATATTTTTATTATCCACTTAAGTTCAATTCAACGGAATTCACTGCAAAAGCCAATAAAAATTAGCGAAACATTCCAACAGCATGAACATTAAAATCTTTTAAGCTAGCTTTTTGTTTGCAAAAACATTGATGACATAAAAATGTAATGAGCCACTTGAAAGTATCTAAAATGCGCCCACACAACGTAGAGAAACTACTTGTGCGCCACCCACTTTCAAATGCCAGTTCCCAAATTCGGCATAGAACTCGAATAGAATCACGTGCCGGGTAAATCAATTACTCAACCGACAGCGAAAGCCAAACCGATGACACGAGCCTCTTTTTGTTTGGCGACATGTCTACACAGCAAAAGATTGCGATACTGTTTGTTGGAAAAACAACTCCATTATCTTTAATTGACTAGAATTATCTAGAGTTCCAAGCAAACAGAAATTAAATTTTAATTAAGCAATGAGAATGTGAACTAAATGTCATTTCCCTTTGCAGGATACACCTTTGGACTCGAATTCGGAAGCAGAATCGGAGGAACAGCAAAGGCGATCGTATCCCCACCGCGATGAGGATCAATTGAACTCGGCCACAAATTTAGTTCTGGCGCAGAATTACAAGTACGATGTGGAGATCCTGGAGTCCGGGGACGAGGAGCAACAGGACTCCAGCATGGATGACATGGACGACCTGGAGGAGCGGTTCAAGGGACGCGGCGTGGTCTTTAGCACGGACACCGACACCTTCGCCTCCGAGAACATCGAGATGACTCCCGTGGACACGCAGGCGGATGCGGTGAGCCAGGGACACGTGCTGCTGGGCATCGTGGTGGTGGCTCTGGCCTTGATCTCCATTGGCCTTTACGCCGGCCTGGTCTTATGGCGCTCGCACCTGGAGTAAGTGCTTAGCTAATTGTCCTAATTCCCAGAGAGTGCTAATTATCCACTCTTTTTTCCCCCTTCAGGCAGCGGTATGGAATGCGCGAGCGGTTGGTGAACCAAGATCTCGAGGAGGAGGCGGGCGGCGATGATTATCAAGTCTATGCCCCGACTACCACACCGGCTACACCCAGGGCGTAGTCCGTTCAAATCTGGTCCGATTTGATCTGATCTGGTGCGCGACAATTGGACCGGGTTTCGGTTTTAAGTGCGCACTCACCACACAATCCAGACGACAATCCCAGCGACAACGAGGATGGAGAGCAAGCTCAATCGTCTAATGAATGCCATAAATTTCCACGACAAGCTGAAAAGCATTCCACTTCCCAATTACCTTCTAATGGCGATGCTAAAGGTCATCGCCGAGTTCTAGAAGCGCAGTTGACAGCGCCAATTAGCTAGTAAGTTCCTGTGATATTGTTCTAGAGATTCTTTTGTACGTCCTTGCACTAACAATATGCATAGAGCCCAAATTTGTATTTGATAATAAATAACTAATTGTAAATGTAAAAGAAAATTTTATTCGCTTTAATTTAAATTGTTTCTTTTTAAAGATTTTTATAATTGGGGACAAGCCAATGGTTTTTAATTAACATTAAAGGCATATTTATGTCATGCCAAACTACAAATAAACACGGAAATTACGCATAATAGGAAAAAGCTTTCTACCAAAGTGCGGTTATACAATTGTTATGTATTTTTAAATTTAAATTCAAAAAAGGCACGCGCTTTTCAGTACTTAGGAACCCAAGAATTGTATCCAAAGCGCAGCCAACTTTGCGTTGCTTGTTCATAAGTACAATAATGTAGTGAACTAGTTCACAAAAATTAATATTTACCAAAATTACTTGCTATCTGAAAGAGAAGTAGAAAGAAATGATTGTCTCTTGCAACTTAAACTCTATTTACATTTGTATAATGTATTTTAATGTTGTAACACAGCTGCCGTGATCTCGACAAGCAACAAGTATGCTGCATCCCCCGGAACCAGTTCGCGTGAACCCAACTCCCGCCTTTTCCAACACTGCCATCAGCTGTTTTCTGGTCATCACGCGTTTTGGCCTGCACTTTGAACCTTGCCTCGCTTTTCGTGTGAATAAAGACAGGGATTTAAGTGCGCCTGTCCGCATTCCGGTTCGTCCTTCCCCGCCGTCCAATTGTCCGTCGCACTTTCGATTCAGAATCCCGCGGAACTCGCTGCCGTGCACATCGCATCGCATTTCACCAGCTGCGCAAGCATTTTCGTTCGCTCTCTCCGTTTTCTCCGCGCGCTCCTCTCTAGGATTCCATTGATAAGCAGAGCCCCCTCGACACAAACCCTCCGCCCCCGCTGCCCGTACGACCCCCTTTTTGCGAAAGTGCAAAGCAAAGCAAAGCAAATCAATCAATTAAAATAGTACGCCAAAAAAGTGCAAGTGCGTGTGTGTTAATTAATTTAGTTTGTCGTGTTTATTAATTAGCAGTGCATAGTTTCCGGCGGAAAAACTACTTTTCCGTTATTTTCGAGCTTCCGTTTGGCGGCCAATTAGCAAGGGAAGGATACAAAGAGGATAAGCCATCATGACGCACTGGGAGGATTTTTACAATACGCACCTGCCGCCCGCGGATTTCGAGGACAATCGCTCGCTTTTAAAGGAATTCTGTGAAAGGCACAACAAGTTACAGAACCGCATCGTCCTCGTCACGGTGAGCTGGGAATCCGGACGAGGGTCCCGGATTAGGATTAGGGTCTAAAGAGCCATATAATGGCGGCACTCCGTTAATTAGCACTTCGGCAGACAAGGGTTAAGCTGACCCCAAAGCGGGGGAAAGCTTTAATGGCAAAACGGGCGCCTGGGGCCTTAAAAACAAAGCGTATAGTAGTGTATGCATAAATTTAAGTCGGCTAACATGAAAGTCTTTAAAGTGGAGCACAAACAGAGGGTGCCAGAAATAATTTAAGTCTTTGCCTTTGAAGTAGAGAAACAAGGGAATTTTGTGAGGTTTTCTTTGGAAAATATTTGTTTTTTACAAAAAATTAATGGTTAGTGTTTTGAAATATTTAATAAAGAATAGAATATATGTACATAAATTAAAGAATATAAAATATACGTAATTAAAAGTTGATAAGCTTCAAAACATTTTTTATTAATTTTCCAAAGTGTGCAAATATAGCAAATGTATAAAAATAACCTGCTAAGTAATTAAAAACGGCAGAAAACAACATTTAATTTCGTCGTTCAATACATCATCTTTAGACTGGAAATGTACTGAGCACTAGTTTTTGTGTCAACCCAATCTGTGGGTACAGAGATTGTTTTCCATTTAACTAGTGATTATTCTCTGGGAAAGAGTAATCCTGAGATGATTTATGTGAATGGTAACCAAAAAGGCGTATTGGGGCTATCTTCCCAAGATTTATAGCCATTGTGCAGATATATGCATGTGCCACATTTGATTAACTACCTCAGATGAAATACTGTTTGGTCTTTTTCTGAACCATTAAGCTTCAAATAACACAATCAAACAGTATTTGCTTGGAATGCATTTATTACGATGCCTTATTTAGAATATAATTTGGAATCTATTCAGTTTATATATACAGCTTAAAGACTGCAAATGATTTTAGGCAAATTTTACTGGAAAAATTAAACTTTTGCATAAGGCAACAAACAAACACATTTAAAGTCTCGTTTCGTTTAAAGTAAAGAAGATTTTGTCTATCATATCATAAAAAGCGTGGGAATAACACAAAATTAAAGATAATGGAGAGTTCTTTAAAAAGAGATTAAAGTCTCTAATAGATCCTGTATTTCTGATCCAATTCCAGTCCGGTGGCACCACAGTTCCTCTGGAGCACAACACGGTGAGATTTGTGGACAACTTCAGTGCTGGAACGCGGGGCTCTGCCTCGGCGGAATACTTCCTTGACCACGACTACGCCGTGATCTTCATGCACCGCCACAAGTCGCTGGAGCCCTTCACCCGGCACTTCACCGGCCAGCAGTTCTTCGACATGCTGGACATCGCGGACAACAGCCAGAGCTCAACGATAGCCATCAAGCCCGATTCGGTGGATGTGTTTGCGCCGGTTTTGGCCAAATACAAGATTGCCCGCGAAACGCAGATGATCCTGTACGTGAACTTCACGAGCGTCGTGGATTACATGTGGCTTTTGAGGGCCGCCTGCGAATGCCTCGCCGCTTTCGAGGAGCGGGCTGTTCTCTACCTGGCAGCTGCCGTATCCGATTTCTACATACCCGAGGACATGATGGTAAGATGAGACTCCGTCCGGATGAGATGGGAAAGTGGGCGGCCATGTGGGAAATCTTGTAATTGATTGCGCTCGTCACTGGGCGAGTGCGGAATGAGTGAGTGGAAATTGGGTTTTATCGATTCTCAAAGCTGCACTGGGGGAAACAAGGAAATCCTACAGAGTACTTGAAGTAGAGCAAGGCAGAAGGCATAATGACTAGGGACTTTCATCGATTCTCAAGATGCACTGCGAAAAAGTGAAACCATTAGTAAGCAGTTTTAATACTGCTGTAGCTTAAGGCTTAGTGATTGCGCATTTTTCTCGATTCCTAAAGTTGCACAGCGCCAAAAATATTATTTATTTCTTTATGAAATGTTTTCTTTTCCATCCGAACGAAACTTACAATTTGGATGTTTTAATGGATAGTTACAATCAATAACAAAATCAATCATATCATACAATAATGACCTGTAAATGTTTCTTAAATCTTTGGCCTATAAATTGCTTCCACTTTATTGCAGTGTGTTCCTAGTTGCGTTGCCCTTGTGACCGGCACTCCTTCCGATTCCCGGTCGCTGTGGAAGTCCCTGGTCCGTGACACATTTCCTCTCCACATTATTGACGTTCGACTGGGCTAAGTCAACTATGGTTGCTGCTGTTCCTCCTGCTGAGGCTGCTGCTCCTCCAGCAGTATCGGGTCCTTCTTCTGTCCTTCTGCTGGCTACCAGGAGCCTTATCACGGCCTGTCAGTGTCACTCACGCTGGCCTTGTGGCCTTGTCCGCCAGCAGCCTTAACATTGTCAGCGTATAATTTGATTTGCATAATTTTGCTTGTTAGCGTGTTTCTGCCCCACGCTTCACTTGATTCTGTGTCACCCACGTTTTAGTTTTTCTAGTCTCCTTTCACCTTTCGCTATCATCCAGCTGTATATCGAGTGGGCGGTGAGCGGGCGTGTTTACTTGTCAGGACCTCCATCCCCGCAACCCCCGCAGTCTGTCAGCTGACTTGTTGGCGCAGCAGCAAAAGGCTTTCAAGTGCATCAAATGTCCATTGGTGGGGCGTGAATGGCTCCGCCTCTGTCGCCCCTCTTTATTTACCTACATACAGTCGAGGTCACAGTAATAGCACGGCAATTCCTCTGAGAACTGCCTGGTTTTTAATTCATCTTTCAGATGTTTTTTGCAAAAGTTGCAATGCGAGCGAAAAGCTTTCAGAAGTAAAACATATCCAAACTTTAAACGATACACTTTTTATAAGGCTTTATAAAGAATTGTTTAAAAGTTAAATGGAAAACTGAAAGTATGTAGGTAAAACTTAAAAAAAATCGTTTTAAACAAAAGCAAAAATAAAAAAACAAATGCTCTTTTTATCCCTAAATGTCCGTTCTTTAGTTTATTTAAAATGTATAATTATTTAGACATAATTCTAAAGGAGCCAGGTACTGAAACGCTACTTCTCAGATACATATTTTCAAGATCGAGAAATGCACGTGCTACATTGCACTGATTTTATCAAATCCTTTCCAGTTATGACCGTATCTGTATTTGACTTGGCAGATGCTGTGTGTGGTAGACACGGAAACCTTCCTCCCGCCACCGCCGTCTACCTGAACCAGATTCTGATTGCGATGCCGAGCAACGTCGAGGCATTTCCTACGCCTTGTTTCCGCTCAGCTCGTGCATTTCCCGTTCGCTCTTCGCTTAAGACACTCGCCCACTTTGTCCGTGTGTGCATACGTCTTGTTAAACGTGTGTGTTAGCCGCAAATGGTCCGTTCACTTGATTAAATTGTTAGATATTCTCACGGCCCGTTTCCCTGGGCGAAATGTGGAGTATGTCGAAAATGGCGAAAATGGCCTGTTGATGTTTATGCTCGTGTCTATTCAAAATGTATGCGCATATTTGGCTTCATCTTTGAGTGCCGCTCGAAGACTTTCCCGGGGGCTATACGATTTGCCTGCAATCGATTTGAATTTGCATAATAACCCTTGGCAAAGTATAAATAGAAGCAGTCAGGCCTGATGCATTGAAAATAAACCTCGTTCAAGTTGTTCTTCGAGTGGTTCAAGGACTTTTCGTGCTCAAAAGTAGGCAACTAAAATCTATTTTCCCCCATTAGCCCTTAGCAGCGTTTCGGGGAAAATTGAAAACTCATTCCCGAAGACCTGGCCGCCATCTCGTTAGCCTTAAAGCCAAGGCCGTCTCCCATACTGAATTTCAACAAGTCAAACCACAGACCAGACACGTTTGCCGAGCCGAGCCACTTGCCAAAGTTCGTCGCTGCCTACATACATATAAATGAGTGTATATAGTACTGCAAGATGATACTAAAAATTCAATTTCACAATCGCATCATCACGACGCACACGCCTCCAGAAAACAAGGCCTAAAAGCCTTTACAAATTTATTCACGGGCCGCGGGGAACGGCGACTTGCCATAGAATTTGAATTAATTCGGGGCGAGGGCGGGACGTTGGGCTTGAACCAAAAGTAAATTCTACTCGTAATAAGTAAAAACAAACAGAGAATTAAAAGAGTAAAGTTAGTGAAGGCAAACGAATGGCAGAGCAGGACAAAAGGCGACGTGCCGAAATCCGCAAATCAAATCAAAAGATTTTACAAGAGCACGCATCAACGCACAGACACACTGCAGTTGTGTTCTATGGGGGTAAAAAGCGGGAAAAGCAGGAAAAGCGAGAAAGCGAATTCAATGTCAACAGCTGCTAGCATTTCCCAGCAAGCGAGAGACGCACAACTTTTTCCCCCAAAAAGCTTAAAGTGCCCCTCCTTCGGCTTTTCTTTCGCTTTCCGTTGTCGACTTAATGCCTTGAGCTAAATTTTTCATTTCTCCTTGCCCAATGTCCCGGCTACTTAGGCGTGTCCGTCCGTTTCTCTGTCCGTTTGTCCGTTAGTCTGTTTGTCCTTCTGTTCGACCGCATTGTCCGGCTGTGCCCGCTTTTGTGTGCTGGATAAATTAGACTGGTCAGCAGCTTAGAGCAGCTTAGGGCGTTGCTCAGTTAATGAGAACGGACAGGGGGCGATCAACAAGTTGCTGCTGGCACACAGGGCGTATGAGCACTATTTTTTATTTGCAAGGCTTTAAAAAAAGAAAACCTTGTCGAGGATGTGCAGCCAGGCGTTGTCGTTAGCTCATTACGACTGAGTTATGCTTTCAATTAGTTGTAATTCATATGCCACGTGGCGGTAAAGGAAAATACTGCAAAAAAGCGAGAGCTGAAAGGCAGCCCTGGCCTTTCATTTTGCCGTCTGTTTGTTTATTTTGCAAGGACACTTTGCTGCTCGAGTGTGCGTGTGTGCGAGCGTCTGTGTTGCATTGTGTGTGCGTCCTTTTCCCATTTAAGAGGATGTTGCCGCGGTGGCTTTTGTGGGCAACGAACCGGCCAACCAGCCAGCCAGTTAACCAACCGAGCAACCAACGTCCCAATCCCATCACATCGCGTATACGCAACGTGGGCGAACGCAATATCATTCCATTAAAACACTAACCGCTGTCAACGGATTTTGCAGCCCACCCACAAAATGCAATCGGGAGATGGAGCGCCAACGATTTCGTTGCAGCTGGTGCCAAAAATGCTGGCCCCACTCGCCAGCTTGTGGGTTCCTCACGCCTTTGTGGTGTCCTTTAAGCTGGAAACGGACGAAAGCCTATTGATTGTGAAGGCACGTGACAGCCTCAACAAATACAAGCACAAGGTGAGTTGCCCTCGCTGGCTCGGTCCGTGTGCTCGGTGGCAGCCGGTAAACCTCTAATCCTGATTCTAATTTCTTCCGCGTCATCATCCAGCTGGTCATTGCCAATGTGCTGCAGACACGCAAGCATCGCGTGGTGTTCGTCACGCCCACAGATTCCTATGAGCTGCATTTGAGCCGCGAGCAGACGCTGCAAGGACTCGAGATCGAGGAGCCCATCGTGGCTGATTTAGTAAGTAAATGATTTGCCAAAAAAACTTAGATTTCATAGTCAAGCTAAAATGTGTAATACTTTTCGTGCTTAAACTTTTGCCATAAGAAATCTTTTGAGTAGTGTTATAATTTATTAAAAGCACATTATTAAATTATTGATTTCTTTATTTCAATTAAATGTCTGCCTAAAAAGGTATTTAAAATATTTTTCGAAGACATTTTTGTTTATAAACCAGAAAGAATTAACGGAGCATAACTAAATTTAAACGAGCACAAGTGTTCGGTATTGTATTTTAATTAATAACCGCTGCTATTTAAACTAGCAAAAATGTTTGCCTAACTATTAAAGTATAAACTTATCACTACTGCTAAAACTGTTTCTAATTGAGCAATAAATTCGTAAAGAAAATAATAATTCAAAACGGAATTTGCATATGCATATTTTGCTTTTCAAGTCAAAGCCAGCTTTACACAAATTTAAAATTATTTATTTAAGTGGCTTAGTTAAACAAAAATGTTGTGTTAAGTCAAATACCTTTTTTAATGCTTCTGTGTTCTGCAAAACAAGCGAGTTCACACGATTTACCTTTAAGAAAAGGGAAGTAAATCTATTATACAAGTCCGTTTTATCGTTTTTTCCAGGTGCAAAAGCACAGCGAGTTCATCAACAGCGCGCAACAGAGGCAATGACCGTTATCAATGCGCCGCCGGCCACAAACGCAGCAGCATCTGCAGCATCAACACCACCAACACCAACACCAACTGGCCACCGGCGACGAGGACGAGGATGAGGATGGAGGGGATCTGGATCGGGATCCGTATTGCGTGACCAGCTCGCATTATTGCCGTGTTCTGAACCCGGGCACGCCAAGCTTCGCCCGCAAATACTGAACAGGTTATAATTGTCCATAGTGAATACTGAAATGTGGATGGCAGCAGACATTTGCATATTCCGTTAACATTTAGGTTTTAGGTTTGAGTTGAGTTCCCGCCACAATTTGGTGTATCTATTTATGGTCGCGCCTCATAATTGAGGTGGCTCCGCTCGATTGAAACCATTAGTACGTTCTCTTGTTGTTGTTATTTTTGTATTAGTTAATGTATTTCCTTTATTGTTGTCATGAGAAATGATGTCACTTGTATGTATTCGCCGCCATCCGCCTGGTTCCTTTTTTCTTGCCTTCTTTTGTTTGCCGGCACGTTTATGTCATCGAGTATACGCAGCGTGTTGCGCGGACATCAATAAGCGATTTTGATTTATGTTTGTGACAGCGCTTATGCTGCTCCTCTATATATATATTTAATGAAGCATCGATCGATCGCCCGCAGTCGAAATTAAATCCCCTAAACACACGTGTTTAAAGTCCGTAAAGCGAAATAACGAAAAAGCTGCATGCAATCGCAATTTGCCGGACGAATCGTCCCTGGGCGAGTGTTGTTGTCTGTGGCAGGCGACGCGACAATTGATTTGCTGTTTTGCATATACACACACACTCGTAATGGTGGGGTGGAAAAAAGGAAAAGCTTGGCCCATCTAATGTCCTTGTCGGAGGAAATTTATGGCGGCTCAAACCTTGGCGCCTGTCTATCCGAAGCGGGTCAAGTGCCAACGGGCAAAGGTCAGCTTAAAGCACCTCAAATTGAGTTTGAAAACGGTGTGCAAAACCTAATTAACATCCCACACTCACATACACACACACACACACAGGCATAGTGAGTTATTTCTTGGCCCGGCTGAGATAGGCTGGGGTTCCGTATCCTCAGGGTCCTTTGCGGACTGCCGCCTTTTGCCACATTTTTATTGCATGTTATGTCGTTGCCACGCCTCTCGGCCAAACGCCGCCCGCTTAAACGGGTGAAGAAGGGTTGGCGGTGGTTTTGTATCCTCCTTTCATGGAGTTGTAACCACTTCCGTCCCGCCCGCATTTGTGGTTTTATTTTGCAGCGCAGAACTATGCAGTGTTTTTCTGTGCCCGGCTGTTTTGTTCTCGTTCGCTTGCGAGCCGAAACGGAGGGAAAAAATATAATTTTTTTTCTGTGCTTCCTGGGGAGGTTGCTTTTGTTTGTGCCTGCATCAAATTAAATTTTATTGCGCTCACACGCACCGCAAACACACAGACACGGAAAGCAGATACGAGAACAGCAGAGAAACAATCACACGTGTGGCTTAGGATTTAAGCCAGGCTCCGTTTTCCTTTCGTTTTCACTTTCCTGTTGCTCGATTTTCATGGCCCCGCCTACGTGCGCCCACATATCAAGTCGCCCCCCATGTGCTTTTCACCCGCCTGCCCCCGCGTATCGATTGTGCATTAAAGTATAAACATAAAAATTCAGTTTGCCAACATGAGTTGCGTACAATAAAATATGTATAACTAGCCAAGTGTGCGAACAAGATGGAACTCTTTGCGACGGGAGTAGCGGATGCTATTTGCCTTAAGGGGGGAAATACAATTAGAAATTTTTTTTTTTCGAAAAATTTTTTTTTGGCTTAATGTACTCCAAATATATCTGGGAATAAGCCTTTAAAAGCATAAAGCCGTCCGGTACTTATTTTCAGAGTTATACGCAATTTAGTGAGGGTGTGTCATATGGCGGACATGCACAAAAGTAAACTTTAAACGCTTCTCCTGAAAAGTCGTGTTTTCAAAGTCGCCGTGCAATGTACAGCTCAGAGATTTTATTTTAATCGAATGCGGTTTTTTGCATTATGTTTGATATTAAATTCTCCACACCATGAATATAACGGTTTTTCATATTTGTTTGTTATAACATGTTTTTTTTACAATCAAAGTCAAAAAAATCGTTTTTTTTGAAATTTTTTTTTAACCTAAAATTTTTTAATGGAAAAATAATTTTTTTAAAATATGGTTTAATTCATGGTGTGCGCGGTACCTTTAAGTTTAAAGCCCAGTTGCTGTTTTTTGTTTAAGTCGTGATCCTGGACCTGGAGACTGCACGGCGCAAAGTCCTTCCCTAAAAACACGACTCTACATTATTGATCATAAATGGGCTTAATTACAATATTTTTCAAAAAACTTGACTGACTTTTATTGCTCAATAATTACCTAATAACATGCAAAAAGAATCACTAAGATTCATTTAATACCCTTCTTGCAATCCACTCCCAAAGATAGCCCTCATTTCAGGCCTTCTAATTGTATTTCCCCCTTAATTGGCAAACAGTGTTTTTTTTTTTTCATATTGCTTACCAAGACGATATTTAAGCATGCCAACCATAAAGTACATACTCGAATAACTGATAAGTTTTCAACCCATAAATGTAAATCCAAGAAAAACCTTTTCATATCCATAACTTAGGACTGAATTTAAATTGATTTTATAAACAGACATCCAAAAGAACTTCTTAGTAGAATTGAAATCTTTAACCTCTTACTAAGTAAATAGCAGAAATTCAATAAATTGAAAATCAAAAGTTCAACAACTTTTCAAGTCATGTTTTTAACTTATTTAACTCAATCTTTAAGCATGATTGCGTTTCCATACTAATAATCCGATGGATCATCTCATTATATTTATATAAACTATATGAATCCAATACATATAATATCCAATCGAGGAATAAAACCAAGTGAACCAATTTGTTAAAGTTTCAATATCCAATTTGGACCAACCCATATGACAAAAGATAGACAACAAAATCGAACAAGCTATAAAAAAAATATATATCTATATGTATACCTTAAAGAAAAAGAAGAGAAACCAATGAATTTCCATTGAATATTTACTCTCTACAAGCATTTTGCCCTCTAAGCTAAATTACTATTTTATTGTTGAAATTGGTAAAAGAATAACACCTAAATTGTACGCAATGCAGTTATGGTCACTGCACCTGCCCTCTTTCTTACCGGAATCCAAGAGCTGTTTAACTGTAAAACTGTTGTAAAATGTTTACCACAAATGTACCATATACCGTATTGAGTGTACTAACGTCTAGTATCCGTATACTTATACATCTACAAAGATACATTAAAATATATATATTTGAGTGTGTATTAAACTGGAAATGAAATAGCTTTAAATGTATAGACAAACAAATGCGTTTTATTGATTGACAGTTGGGGTCAGGTGTTCCTTTAAGGCATTAAATATTAACTATATACATTCAATATTAATTCATTATAATAACACAACAGTATCACAACAATTTAAAACTGGCCAAATATAAATGGCTATTATCTCTCATTAAATTGAGGCATCAAAATATTAGTTTGGCAAATCGGTAAATTTAAACTTGAGCGGAATGTTTGGAAGATTTATCAATGCAGATCGGAAAGCATTCTCCGTTGGATAATTGAACTCCACGTTGAAGTTTCTAATGAGTCGAGCGGTGCCCAATTCTAACTCCATTTCCACAATGCGTTTTCCCACGCACATTCGAGGTCCAAATCCGAAGGGCAGGAAAACGAATGGATTTGTGGTCTTCAGATCATTTGCCGGGCACTTCGACTCGGAATCCTTGGGGCTTCGCAGCCAACGCTCCGGCAGGAATTCCGAAGCCTGGGGGAAGTACTCATCTTTGGTGAGGGCATTCAGAGGAACAATGGATATGTAGGTTCCAGCTGGCACTTGGTATCCACTGAGCACAGAGTCTCTGGCAAGGACACGGGCATTTCCAACAATCAGAGGGTGAACGCGCTGGGATTCCTTGATGCAGGCTCGCAGATAGGGAACGTTCTTCATCGAAGCCTCGGTGAACTCGGAATCCTTGTTGGGCAGGACCTTCATCACCTCCTCCCGGAGTTTAGCCTGCTTCTCCGGATTCTTGGCGAGGCACAGCATGAGTGCAGCAAAGGTGCTTGAGGTCTGTTAGGAAAAGTATAATTAGCACCACGCATCTTAAAGGATCACTCTATAAATAACTTACCGTATCTACTCCTGCCATCAACATATCCATCGCCATAACAGTGGCAACTTTCCTGTCAACTTTCAGCAGTTTCTCGAGGACACTTTGTTCATTCTCCGGACGCACCACACCCGCCTTGGCCTCCTTGTCCAATCGATCTATGGCCTCGTCAACGTAGGCCAACGTGACTTCCTGGATTCCATCCAGAGCTTTCAGCAATCGCTTCAACTTGGGGGTTTTAATGTAACGCCAGGGCGAGGGTTTCATCTCGAGATCCGCTGATATTATAAAGAACTCATCCAGGTAGTGGAAAAGCCTAAGCGCCTCGCTCTCCTTGTTCGAATCCTTGAGCAGACCCAGCTGCTTGTCCAGGGCCACCACGGATACGGATTCGAGGGTCCAGCGGTTGACGGTGTCTATGAAATCATCGGGTACTTCCAGAGTATTGGGATCCCTCAGTTCTTTAATGCTGTTAAAAGAATTTTATTATAAAGTTATTCCAGTTTGTTTAACATATCCTTACCGTTGCACAAACTCCTGGTTAACCTGCGACATCTTTTTATAGTACAATCTGACGTTCTTTGGTTGCATGAGAACGGGATTAACTACGGTTCGAAAGTCTCCCCAAGGTTTTCCCTGCGAGGGAATGATGCCCATGACGCCCTCGTAGAAGTCCTTCCAGTACTCCTCGCGATGATATCGTAGTGTATCGTTACCCGGACGGTGGGGCCAAATGCCCTCGTTGCGGAAAATCACCTCGAAGTCCTTGGGATTGTGGGTGCTCAAAAAGGGAGGTGCGCCCATCAACCCCGGCAGAAAGAATATGTCCCCGTAGTCCTCCCTCATGGCCTTCATCATGTCCATTATTTCCAGGTTCTTGTACTTTCCCCCTGGCATGGATAGTTTCATTATCAATGATATCGAATTGGTGCGAGGGATCTGATCAAATGGCTTCGCTTGCAGCCATTCGGGATCGTCTCTCGCCTCAGCAGTTGCAACATTTGTTTGCCAGCGCTAAAAAATTAAGATAGATATGAATATAACAAATATTATACATTTTTATTACGTTGTATGTGTTTTAACCCTTTACATGGTGGTGATGCATATCTGCATCATACCGTTCAAATTCAATTATTTTTCAACGGGCATTGCAAAACTGTCTGAAATCTTTTTAATGCAGTTCAGAAACTTTCGTTTTTTATATAACAAGTGTTAGTCAGTCAGAATTCTGTCCAATACTCAACAGCTGATTACTTTTCTCGCCAATTTGGTAAATGTGGAAATCTGAATTGGTTGTGCAGTTTCTCATCCAAATATAAATAACAAAAAAATGTGTAGTTGATTTAATTTATATTTTTAAACAAGTAAATATTATATTTAGATATATCTTGTCGAGTTTTTGTGTTTCTTGCATTATAATACGAATAAATCAACAATTTCGCTTTGTTGCAGATATGCATCAAAGTAGCTTAACACATAAAAAAATACTGCAAAATGTACGAACTTCACTGGATTCTCCCAAACGGAGTGCGAAAAATGTGTAGTTTTTTTATGTTTAAAAAAAAGATAATTGCTTTAAAAAATTTAATTTAAATTGACATATTTAAAATATAAATTACTATATTTTAATATTGAATGAATGTTATTATCTTTCTAAAACACATATTAAAAAAATTTTCCTTTTAAGCCTTTTGATGCAGAAATGCATCACACCCCTTTTGTAAAAAAATAAGGTAAAACCAAAAAAAATTAAAAAACTAAAAAGAAGTGTATTTTTTATTTTCACTTATCTACCAAACAAAAAAAAAATTAAGAAAATCGGAGTTATTGCCATGTAAAGGGTTAACTGCCTGATAACTAATGAGTAAAAACATTAGAAGCCACTTAAAAAACTGGCTATCAGAACTATCAGTCATAGATTAATTGTTTATATTTAATAAAAGTGTTTACCTTTTGAGTGCTGAGCGAGAGAGCCGCTTTTTGCGACTGAATTAATGTTAGACCACTGCGCACTTTTAGCATTTTCGCGTTGCTTGGGAACTTGGCTCGTTCAACGCCAAAACAAAACTGAGAACCGAGTGCTCGTTCCATTAGTTTAATAATTCTAAGGCTGCGAGAGCTTTAACGCTTTATTAGACGATAACAACACACAACCAGAGAGATAGCTACCCATAGAGAACTCTCTGCCAAACAGGTTCTAGAGAGCTAATTTGCCAGCATACATATATCAAAAATATGTGTTTCAATCAAACATAAACATGCAATGTTGGTTTTTTCCTTACATATTTAATGGGGAATTTAAAACAATCAATATTATAATTTTCCCTTGAAAAGTGTGCACATATCTAAAAAAATTCTTATCTACCCTTGACAAACAGTTTACCCCTAATAAAGACAAATAAATTAAGCGACCCCCTCCGCCGTATCGGTCATTGTCAATGCTAATAATACATTTTCACCATGACTAGGAAGTATTTTCATTCATTGGGGTAACAAGTTGCTTCTAGAGCTTAAGGTCGTTTAAAAAAATATATTCAATTCAAATACCACACTCAATTTATTGTTTTAACATATATTTCGTCAATTTAATCATTTCTTTGTTAATACTTTTAAAATATAGAATTCTGATTTCTACGATAAAATAAAATCTTATCACAGAAAACAACAAAGTTAAGGCTTAATTTATAATATTAGTTTGGCAAATCGGTGAACTTAAACTTGAGTGGAATATTGGGCAGATTGATAAGCGCAGAACGGAAAGCATTCTTCGTGGAATAATTGAACTCCACATTAAAGTTGCGAAGGAGTCTCGCAATGCCCAACTCCAGTTCCATTTCCACGATGCGTTTTCCCACGCACATTCGAGCTCCAAATCCGAATGGCAGGAATACGAATGGATTTTTGGTCTTCAGATCGTTGGCTGGACATTTTCCAGTTGAATCGTTGGTGTTTCGTAGCCATCGCTCTGGCAGGAACTCAGTAGGTTTCGGGAAGTATTCCTCACTGTTAAGGGCACCTATGGGAATCATGGACACGAAGGTACCAGCTGGAACCCGATAGCCGCTTATTACAGCGTCCCTCGTAAGTCCACGGGCATTTCCAACGGTCAGAGGGTAAATACGCTGGGATTCCTTGATGCAGGCTCGCAAATAAGGGACATTCTTCATCGAAGCCTCGGTGAACTCGGAGTCCTTGTTGGGCAACACCTTCATCACCTCTTCCCTCAGTTTTAGTTGTTTTTCAGGATTCTTTGCAAGGCAAAGCAAAAGCCCCGCAAAAGTGCTTGAAGTCTGAATAAAAATTGATGTATATAATGTATTTTATAGACTTCATGATATCCAATTACTGACTAGCTACTCACCGTATCAACTCCTGCCATCAACATGTCCATAGCCATAACAGTGGCCACTTTCTTGTCAACTTTAAGAAGTTTCTCGAGGACACTTTGTTCATTCTCCGGACGAACCACACCATCCTTGGCCTCCTGCTCCAAACGCTGGATGGCTTCATCTACATAGATTGAGGTAATGTCCTGAAGGCCATCCATTGTTTTTAGTGCTTTCTTTAGCTGTGGAGTCTGGATGAATCGCCAGATTGAGGGTTTCATCTCCAGATCGGCCGAAAGCAGGAAGAAATCATCCAGGTACTGGAATAGTTTTGTAGCTTCACTGTTCTTTCCCGAATCCTTGAGCAAACCCAGCTGTTTATCCAGAGCCACCACGGAAACCGATTCTAGGGTCCATCTGTTAATGCTTTCTAAGAAATTTTCTGGAACTTCCTGAGTGGTGGGATCTCTTATGTCTTTAATGCTAAGAAAAGTATGTTTAAATGCGGAATAGGAAAGAGTTAGAAATTCTTACCGCTGTACAAATTCCTGGTTAACCTGCGACATCTTTTTGAAGTACAACCTTACATTCTTGGGCTGCATAAGGACGGGATTTACGATGGAGCGAAAGTCTGCCCAGGATTTGCCCTGTGAGGGAATGATTCCCTGAACACCCTCAAAGAAATCTTTTCTGTACACGGTTCGATGGTAGCGCAAAATATCACTTCCAGGTCGATATGGCCATACCCCTTCATTTCGGAAAACGACTTCGAAATCCTTCGGATTGTGGGTCATCACAAACGCAGGACTTCCCAACAAGCCGGGTATGTAGAATACATCTCCGTAATCCTCACGCATTGCCTCGAACATTTGCATTACTTCCATTTTCCTGTATTTTCCACCGGGCAAGGCTATTTTAGGGAATAAAGATAACAAGTTGGCCCGTGGAATTTGTTCAAATGGTTTGGCCTGTAGCCATTCGGGGTCCTCTCTGATCTCAGCTGTAGCCACATTTGTTTGCCATCGCTAAAATATATACCAATTATTTGCTGAATTCAAATAAAATATTATATAAATTCCTCCACTGGAAAATGTTCTAATTATGAGCTATTAGATATAACATTTCATTCATTGTTTGGTTCGAAATATCATTTGTTTACCTGTTGACTGGCTAAAATGGGAGCAGCTTTTTGTGACTGCAAAATAATAAGACCGATACGCTTCCCTAACATTTTTACCAATCAATGAACTTTGCTCGCTCACGGTTAAAAAGAAACTACTCATTTCGTTTGCTTGTTCTATTGCTTAACATTTTTCTGAGTTTGCGTGAGCTTTACTGCTGAATTCGGCGAAAACAACAGACCTTAAGATAGATTGAGAGCGGGAGAGATAGACAAACAGGTTCGCGAGAGTTTGTGAATTGCAAACGAAAACATATGCCAAACATTCGCTCATAAACCAAATATACATATAACGATAAGGAGTCAAATATACCCCTTACTTAAGGGATTGCTCTATTCCTATAATAAGATATGAATTTTTGGTATAACAAAAAAGGAAAGTAAAATGATTTGTCATCATTAAAGTGCAGATTTCACTCCTATTAACAATACATACATTTTGAAAGAATTTGTCACAAATTTTATTGCAAAAAATGAACATTAAGTGCTTGAAATATATTGAGCAGTATTATCAATGATTGGATTGGTCAATTTTATTGGCATAGGTTCAAAAATTTGTCTAGGGTAAAAAGAGAATATTGGTGCGAGCATTTTATCTTATCAGCTGAACAACAAACTTAAGTTCAGCGAACAAAGAGTTTCCATAATCTTTCCGATTTGGCAAACAATTTCAAAATTTCGTGTGAAAACAAGTATCCATTGCATCAGACCAGTTGAACTTTTGATTCAAAGCAGTGTGCTTGATAATCTTAGTTTGGTATATCAAAGAATATAAGACATTTCCGCATCAACAAATAACAACACGGGCTTATATGTTTCCATTTATTTATTTAGACAGTATTTTGTTTATTTATACCATTATATGTATTTGTTCAAACACCAAAAAGATTTGTTTTGCTAATCAAACTGTTGGCATACTCATAGATAATAGTTGCAATCTGATGAAGTATACATAATTACGTACTCGTATAGGGAAATATAAATATTCGTTTAGATTAATGACTTAATGGTAGATTACAAATTAATTAAAGTTGCACAAATCGTTTGAGTTTTCATACGATGAGCATATTTTTACATGACAATTTCCGCGCGAAACAATTTGGCACGCTGGGCAAAGATATAGAATAATATGTATAGTATGTTTTTATATGGGGCGATTCAGAAGATATCATTCGTTGACTCTAAGGACTAAGTGTCTATGACAGTTTCGTATAGTATTTATAAGATAATTCCTTTAGCATTGAGCAGGGTTAGCCAGCAGTAGAACTGAAACTAATCCTGGCTGGCAGATCCATTCGTCTGCTGGTAACTGCACACAATCTTGACCGCATCGTTCATCATTTTGGCCGTGGAGCGGACGAGGAACATCAGATGACACTCGTCGTAAACGGTCAGTTCGACCCGGGTTCGCACCAATCCATGGAGCACGGTGGCTCTTTCCAAGTCCAACCACCGCTGAAGGGCCAATTCCCGCTCCTTGATGGATCCGGTGAGCGCCACATCCGAAGGACCCCACAGTACAAATTCCAGCACTGCCTTCGCCTTCGATAGGGATTCAGCTCGCTCCTGCTGCAGGATGTCCGCCAAAATGGGCGTGATCTTGGTGGCGGGCAGCATGTCGGTCAAGGCAGAGTGGGCGCACTTGCACAGGGTTCCCATGGGCTCATCATCGTCGTTGTTGTTTCTAGGGAAAAGATACTCCATTTAATAAGTGTTTTAATTAAGAAAGGAATTTAAGCTTACCCCTGCAGCACGCAGAGTCGCGCTTGGGCGTCCTTGTTGTCCATGTCCTTGGACAGCACCACATTGGAGAGACTGAGCGGCGTCTCCTCGATCGCCTTGGCCTGCAGGTTCTTCATTCCGTTGACCAGCTGCAGCATGATGAAGGCCACCTCGCGCGTCATCACATCATCGAATGCTGGCATGGCATTTGCACTCGCCGATCCCTCCTCTGCACCCATCGATGTGGCCGAGGATTCCTCGTTCAGGGTACTCAGATTCTGCACCGATACCACGTTCCTCAGATTCCCAGCCATCGAACTGTTCCCATCCTTCAGGCCACTCAGATTCGGAATGGAGCCACGGAAGTTGAAGTTGCTCTTGTCCAGCACCTGCGATTTCCCCTTGAGTATTGATCCAATAGATTGAAGAGTTTCCAGCTGCAATCTCGGCAGCACCGAGATGGTGGCCTGCAGCAGGGTGACTTCGGTGGAGGGCATCAGAGGCAGCTGATAGCTGGGCACCAGGTCGCAGAACTCCGTCACCGGGTTGAGCACATCGCTCACGCCGCCGGTCAGCTGGCTCAGCTCACCACCAACTCCTCCCAGTTGGTTGCAGTCGGCCGACAGGGCCAAGGTCACTGGCGAGGAGCTCCACAGGGCGGCATGGAACGCCTTCTTGCCCACGACGAAGGCCTGGGCTCCCTCCAGAATGGTGAAGTCCTCGTAGCGCAAGTTGATCGCATTGGCCAGAGGACGCAGGGCCGCCGGCACCACTGGAGTTTGCTGGAGCTGAAAGGGATTAAAATCAGGTGTATACATTAGTCAAGTTTTATTGAAGCTCACAAAGAATTACGTCAAATATTAGTTGTTAAGTAAAAAAGTGGTAAAGTTCGAATTTGTTTTATGGTAAATGAACGGGGTCTAACGGAGCCCTATAGATATTTAACAAAAATAAATAACAATAATAATAAAAAAGAAAGAAAAACCTTGTTAAAGATTGTAAAACCCATTAAAAGTTATGATTTAAATGAAAATATCATTTTTGGTGCAAATTCTATATTATTTTTAATTTTATAATGAAACTAACCTGATCTAGCACCTGGGCGAGGGCCTCGTGATTAGCCACAACCACGGCTGTGTAGTTATCCTCGATGGTCTTGTGCACGACACTGCGTCCTTTGCGCATGCGCAAACGATTCGTGGCCTTGCTGCGGTTCTTATTGGCCTAAAATAAAAAATACTTGGTTAGTTTGTGTACGATCAATATTCTGTTTAATAAAAAACTCACCTGTGGCATGCCCCAGACGCTGTCGTTGATGTCCGTGGCCACATCGCCGCCCGCCTCGCTGCCGTAGTAACTGTACGGAGCGTAGATATCGAACTCGCCCACCTCGCTGCCCGCATACGAGGCGGAGATGATGCGTGGAATGTTGGCTGAAAGGGATAATAAGGTTAAATTAGTGAGTGAATAAAATATAATATTTTAAGTAAGTTATCTTGGCTTCTGCTTTATTTTATTTTTCTTATTTAAAACTATAGTTCATTAGAAGTAAAGTGACAAAAATATTGCAATGGCAAAAAATTTAAATTTTTCCCAAATATGCTTTTAAGCTAACTATTAGAAAAACAAAATAAAAATAATTCAGTAGATTTTTTATGCACTATTTCAGTTACTTAGACTTTGAACTGCCTAACCTTATTTTCAGTTTAAGCTTTTAGTGAGAGAAACATTATATATTTCTGTTTTATAATTGTTCTGTTATATAATAAAAGTTTTTAAAAAAGGACCTTGAAAACCTACCCAAGCTGTTGTTCAATCCGTAGTTCCGCACCGGTCCGTACTCGCTGCGCGTGTAGCTGGCAATGGAGGCCGTGTCCGAGTAGATGTTGTTGCGCCTTGTGGCCTGGGTAAGCCGCTGACCCGCGACGGACAGATCGATGTTACTGCGCGTGGGAGGCGGCGGAGGAGTCGAAGTGGAGGGCGTGGGAGTGGTGTTGCCAGTAGCCGTGGGCGGTGGCGGGGAACCCATCTTCACGAACTCATACATGTTCTCGTAGTCGCGCTTGTCCTTCAGATAACTATCGATGGTGCTGTTGATCTTCCGCACCGAATCCTTGAGGCTGCTCCGTTGGGCAGCATCCGCAGCATCGATGGATCGCTGTTCGAAGATCTCCAGCTTACTGGAAATGGACATCTTCGGTTCGCTCTTCTTCTGCGGCGTTCTTTCAAAGGTGCTTGTCCTGCTGTTGGCAGTCGATGCGGACTTCCCTCCTGCTTCCTGGCCAGTCGCGGTGGCACTCGTCTTGGCCATCGCCTTGCCCTGATCCGCGGCACCATTGTCACCGTTTGACGAGCAAATGGAGATAGTGTCGGTGAGGACTCCGCGCTTGCGCACCAGCTCCAGTTGGGCCTCCCGCTCCCGCATGCTGGCCGTGCGCTCTGGTTTGCGTGGCGCGATTGAGGAGCGGATTTCCCCTGAGGATCACAGAAAACAGAATGGTAAGTAAAAGGTGTGACTAATATATTAATTATATAAAATTAGTATAGTAATTCTCCCAGTTAGTCAGTAACTTTTTTTTTACATTTTTCAAGTTTAATAGATCTTCGCTAGAGTAGATTGGGATGATTAAAAACTTCCTTATTTTTAAAAGCATTAAGTTAGTCAGAGCTCCAATTAATCTCTATATAAAAAAATTAAGTTTTAAAAAGAAATAAGGCTTTTAAAATTTGGGCATATATCTATAGGATGATTTATTTCAAATACATTTTTAATTTAATTAATTGTATTTGTTTTTTTTTTTATAAATCTGTTAGATAGTTTAGTTTAGGTTGCCAATTGCAAGTTGGTTAATATTCATGTGATTTATCTAATTAAAATTCTGTTTATTTGTTCTCATTGGCATTCATTTTCTTGCTTCCAATATTTATCCACTTTTTCAATTCCAAATGAAAGACCAATAAACATACAGAATACAAGTGGAACACCTCTTTGCTGCCAGAGAGGTAATTTATTCATAAGATTTCCCAGGCCGTCCTCAAATTTGACTGGCCTTCATGGGGCGATGCCAAATGGTGTTTGCTGGCACCTGAGAGCTGTGAAAATCCGCCGACAAATGCCAGCTCCACCCTCCTTCTCAACGGGCCGGGTTTAATGGTTAGACAACCTGTGAGTACTAATTGCGATTTTGACCCAAATTCGTGCTAAATTACAATTCGCATGGTGCTGATGGTCGGCTCGAATGTGGTTGCTCTTGGATCTGGGGCTCGTTGTTCTGTGGCGCTTTGTCCGAGATGTCTAACAAATGGTTTTGACCAGGTCTCTGGATCTGGCTGCTATTTATTTTTTTTTTTTTGTGTTGTTCATGACCAGATGCCAGGTGCAGCAGCGGCAGGTGTAACAAGTTCTCGCCGCATTCGCGTTGACCGCAAAGTGTCAGGCCAAAAGAAATGGGTCTCTGGTCCGCTCCGCCAGTTGCCAGTTGCCCGTTGCCAGTTTCACCAATCTCCGTTCTTTCCTCCGGCCAACCAGCCACCAACCATCGACCATCAACATGTGGTTGGGTTACCTCATTGCTCCGGCATGGCCTGGCTTATATTCATTTCGATTTTTTGTTCTGTCTCACTGGCAAACTATTTTGCTCTCTGGCTTTGGCCACTTAACCCACTTTGAGCCGGCTCATCACACTCGTTTTGGATGCGGCGGATATGGTCATAAGTGGCCTACCTGTATCCGTACTTCGGCGTTTGTTGTTTGTTGTGTTTTGTTGTGTGTTGTGTTGTGTTGTGTGTTGTTTGTGCGTCCGTTATATTGATTAAAATGCGTAACTTGTTCTGCGTTTGGTTTCGGGTTCTACTTTCAGAGGAGTTGCTGGCCCAGCTTTTACCATTTACGGTGATTTTATTCGTGTTCTTGTTTCTCGATTCTCGTTTCGTGTTTGTGGCTGCAATTGAAGTCAACAAGTTGGCAGAAGTGGGTGAAGTGGCAGAGACCCTTCAGACCCACATATCGTACACCACACACTAAAAGCATTCATGAGCTGGCTGTTTTGAAGGTCGCCCGATTTCTGGGCGCTGTCAGTGAACGTGATTTGCTTACGCTTTCTTTCGGAATGCGATCGCCGAGTTGGGGAGAAATGTCGCCCACAAATCGTGGAATCGGGTCAATGGGAACGAGATGGAAATTAACTTCATAATTGCCGGAATTTAGCTTACTCATTTTACGAGCATTTCGGTGGTAAAAAAGGAAATTTTTGCGAATTATATGGTTGACATTTTTAAAATACTCGTAGTTTGTTAAACATGCGTTTATAAGAAGCCTCCAAAATGTGAAGCCTATTCGTTTTTATGACTGCCCTTGTTTCGGTGCTTACTAAAGTAATTTAATTTAACTTTACAATGTTTATTAAATAAGAGAGGACTGAACGCTAGAACATTGTAGTATCATATCACATTTTTCTTAGCCCTAATACCATTTTTAAAAGATTTAAGGAAAGGTGACCTAGAATTCTAACATTGAAATTAATGATTATCGTATGCCATTAAGCCTTAGGTACACTCTTATATTTCGTGCATTAGATCAGTTTTTATTCGGAACTATTTGTTCGTCAATTTATTAATTTTTTAAGAAAACATGCTGAGTTTTTAATTCCTAGCAATTAGTTAGGAACATTTAAATTAGTTTCTAATAATATCCTACATTTTAGTTAACCTTTTTCAATACATATTTTGTAAGTATGTAGATTATTTATTTGTAAACTATTAAAAAGTACACTCACCTAAGTTGGCGTAGACGTTGTCGGCCTTCAGCTTGACGGATCCGGTGCCGGATGGCAGAGCCAGGACGGTGGAGTCCACGCTGCTGGAGCTCAGGGTGGCGGTCAGCTCGGTCTTCTGCTTCCGCCGGAGTTCGGCGCTCTTGGGCGGCGGTGGGCGTGCCGGCTTGTTGGCCTCGTGGGCGCGCTGCCCCTCACTGGCGCTCGATCGAAGGGGCGGGGCAGGTGGTTTGGTAGTAACCACGGCCACAGTTTGCGCCGAAACGGAGTCACCTGTCTTGGTGATGTCCTTCACCACTTCCACAGCCGTGGGATTAATATCGATTGGATGAATAATCACCAGACGGGGTTTACCCGAAGGACTGCCCTCCTCGGTTCCTGTGCAGATTTCCGTATACATGCTGGCCTCCTTTTTGGCCAGGGACTCACCGGACTTCGAACCGCCTCCATTGCTGCCCATGCGCAGGAACTTCTTGATGGAGAACTTGGACTTCTGCTTCTGGGGAGGCGATGCCGTTGGGGATTTCTTATCCAAACCGGCGGCGGCTAGGCACTCCTCCGACATGGAGAGATGACGATGGTTCCGGGGCGTTGGCTCTGGCGTCATCGGTTGCTTGAGGCTCAGCACCGAGCTGGCCGACTGCAGTTGCACTTGCTTGGCCGCATTGGCCCGCTGCATCACGAAGGTGTTGAGACTCCGGAACTTGGGATTTATTACGGCCCTTTCGCGTTTATCCTTTTCCCGGATGACGGGAGCGGCTGCGGCCACCGGAAGAGCTGGCTTTCGGGTGTACAAATTGCTGTTGCTGGTTACTGTTGCACTTGCAGTTGCAGCTGCAGCAGTGGTTGTTGCTCCTCCCGTGACTGAAGAAACACCTGTGGCTTGATTCTCGCCAGAAGATGATGATGGTGCTGATGATGTGTCACCCGGTGACGTGGTCTTTTCCGCCGGCTTTGCTGCCGCTTTCGTCGCCTGCTCGAACTCAACTACCAAACTGTAATCTCGTTCCGGCGTGGGCGGAGCGCTCAGTTTTGTCTCCGGCGGCGGATTCGGAGCTTTGCCCTTTTTCAGCTTTGAATCGTCGGCGGACAGATTCTCTTTGGCCAACATTAGACTCTCGCTGGACTTGGAAATGGCCGACTGCAGTTGGCTGATGAATTGCTGCTCCGCGCAGCTGGGTTGTCGCTTCCCCAGGAAGCTCTTCAATGGTGAGTTGCTGCTTGAATTATTGGGATGGCTGTTGACCAAAGGTTTCACTGGCAATTCCGGCTTCTTTAGGCCATGAAGAAACGAGGGCCGGGCATCGATTTTCATGGGGGGTGGTGGGGATTTGGGCAGCGCAGGAAGCTGTTGCTCTTGATCCTTTTGCTGGTTTAGTTTTTGCTTTTGTTCAAGGCTGTTATCCGGATCGGCACTTCCATCGGGTTCGCCATGGAGTTCCCTGCTTTTGACCGCCGGTTTGGTCACCGCCTGATCTCCTATTTGTATATCTTCATAATCCGAGTTATTGGTACTAGCACTCAGTTTCTTCTCCACCAAATTCTGTCGCTGTTCTCCGTTGATTGCTCCCTTGGCCAATCCCAGGTTTTTGTACTCACTTCCCAGGCTTATTCCGATTCCGGAATCCGATTCACTGCGAATCATATTGTAGGCATTCTCCTCGTCCGAACTGCCATCGAAACTGCTGCCCGTGGAATCCAAGGCGTCATCCGAACTGCACTTGGTGACAATCAACCCATCGGAGGTGATCTTGCTGGTCATGAAGTTCCCCTCGTGAAGATTGTAGCTGGCTGCCCGGGTTTTCGAACTCAACAGCATATCCGTAATGTACTGGGAACTGGAGTAGTGCGAGTTACCCGAACTCTCCGTTTGGGCGGCAGTGGCCACGCCCACCTGCTCGGAGTACTTGCCATCTGGGAGGTTCTCGTAGCTCAACTGGGTTTCCACCACATCATAGTAGGCGGAGACTCCGTTTTCCGTATCCGAGCAATTGCTGTCCGTATCCGAGTACTTGTGGCACACATTCACCTTGGGTTTGGCTTGGTCCCTGGTGATGGGCGCATTCCGTGCGATTGGCTTCTTAAGGTCGAGAAATGGCTTCGGGGAGTCACTCAGTGCACTCAGCTCGAATTTGATCTTGCTGTTGCTGCTGGAAGTGGAGATGTTGCTGCTGTTTCCGCCTGAAGTTGCCGTTGCAGTTGCACTTGTCTCACTCAGCTTCTGTTTCTGCTCCAAAGTCTCGGAGATTTCATCTAAAAGTGACTTCTCCATCGCTCGTTCTATGGGCGGACTATCTTTGCCATCTCGCGAAGATGTTGCCCCTGTTGTTGGCGTTGCAGTTGTGCTTTTGGCCATGGTTAGTGTGGGTGTTAGGGTGGTGGTCACCTTTTTGGTAACACTGGCAGTTCCCGTAGTTATATTACTACTCTTGATGGCTGTTGTTGTTGTGGTTGTTGTTGTTATGGTTGCTGGTTTGGCTTTTGCCGGTGTTGCAACCGATGTTGCTGTTGCTGTTGCTGTGCTGCTTTTGCCTTCCGCTGGTGCAGTTTTGGCTTGGGTTGCTTGCGTTTTGCCAATGGGCTGACCAAAAGGCATCACATTGATCGTCAGGGTCTGCTTCTTGCCCTCTTTGTCCACCTGAGGAGCACCCAACTTCAGAGCTGCAAAGGATTTCTTGATGTTCTCCTCGGCATCGCCCAGCAGATTGCCGTTGTTCATATTGAAATCGGTATTGGCCCTGGTGATCCTCTTCAGCTCAACGGTCTCCTCGTCGTCCGTTTCGGTAATGGCCATGTCATCGTGCTCGTTGCCCAGGTTCATAAAGTCGTGATCGTCGTCGTCATCATCGTCCTCCGACCATTCACCGCCGTAACCTATGACCTCGTGCAGCTGCTTGGGAAAGCACACCTTGCCGCCTTTGGAGTTTGTGGATTTTCCAGCGGAGGAACTCGAACTGGAACCCGTCAGCCTCACGCCGAAAGCCTTCTTAATTATGCTCTTGGCCGGGGTTTTGTGTTTGTTGGGGTAATCGGTCTTAACCTCCTTGTCTGCTTTATGGCTGCCACTCGATTTGGATGCAGCTGCTGCTGCGGCCGCCTTGTGTTCGTCCTTGGACTTGAAGCAGTTCGAGCACAAGTCCTTCTTCCAGGCATTCTGGGTGAAGTGCGAACAGATCGAGGACGACATCGCGATGGGGATTTATTGCTGCTTTTATCACGCCGACGAGAAACCTAAGGCCATATTCTGAAAAGGGAAAACGAAACGTAAGTCGTGAGTAATGGTTTGCTGGCGATGAGGTTGTTAGTTCGTAAGCCTAAACTTTCGTTGCCAAAAAATATTGCGCAAGCTCACAATTAACTTTCACTGCCGCCTGCAACTCAATCTCAACTTCTGCCGCATGACTCAATATTGATTGAGTGGAGAAGTTAAGCCCGGCAATTGAGACTGCGCCATGTGGTCATCCAGCCCCCGAAATCATGGCCACAAACTGCCTTTTGCCAGCAGGCCAGCCAGCCAGCCAGCCAGCTTATCAATCAATCTTCATCTTGATAATGGAATTATTGAAATTTTTCCTGATGATGATGTGACTATGGCTGCTGCTTTTGCCTCAGCCAAAAAAACCTCGATGGCAGTGGTTGGAAAATTGTGGAAAAAAAAGTAAGGGATAGATGGGCTGACAACCACACAATTATCTTTGATTGTCACATCTCTCCCGACACAAACATTCGATTGCAGTTGTTGGGTAATCGCCAGTTGCAGGCGCATTTTGTTAACCACTTGGCTTCTGTTTGCCATTTATTTTGTCGACTGCTCGCAAATGACTTTCTAAATCCAACCCAAACTGCATGTGCAACATGTTAGCGGGCGGAGCAATGGCTAACAAAAAAAACCTAGGAAATGACACACAAGTCAAGCGGACAGACAACTCATTTATAGCTTTAAAATTGCCGGCCACATTTGGTCAGAGCTTCTAGAAATGATTCAAAGGCAAACTGGTTTCCTTTTAAGGCGATAACCATAACTTTTGATAATTTCCCAAACAGGCAGAGAATGATTTGTAGTTCTGTGGAGTTTCCTGTAGAACTTTATTAGGCTAATTTAATGAGTAATTTGTGAGAACTTTTATGGAAAGATTTTATTCTTTGATGTTAATAAAACTACTTATTTTGTGTATGTACAATTGTGTGGTACCACTTGTTATAATATCATTGGTGGGTTAAATTACTCTCCACGAAATTACGTCTGTTTATCTGGAAGATCTGCTTAGAATGCCGCCAACAATTTTGGGCGTTTCCTGTGAACCACTTCACACTGCCGCCGACAGCAACATTGCCAAGCAACAGCCAACAATGTAACGATTTTGAGGTCTTTAAGCCATTAACTTCTTCATATGGCTGTGAGCATCTACGCAAGTGTGTCGCTTGAACCAAAACACGTAGTTAAGGCGCCTAATTGGGAGAGTGTTGCTGGCGTTGCTGGTGTTGTTGGTGTTGACGGTGTGCATGGTGGTGATGTTGCTGCTGCCGCAACGACAACACCCACAGCGGCAACAATGAAGATGACAACAGCCGTTTTTGGTTTGTTTTGGCCAACATTTATCATTGCCAGCGTCGAGGAAAGTTGACCCATTGTTAACTGCTCGACTTCTGTTGCTGCCACGCTTGATTTCTGCATCAGATGCTTATGCTGTTGTTGCTGCTGCTGCTGTTGCTGTTGCTGTTGCTGTTGCCGTTGCTGCTGCTGCTGCGGGATTTGCAGTTTTGGGTCAGCATTTTGACTTGACGTTAATATGCATAAATCTCGGCTCTGTGCAATGCGGTCGCAGAAACAATTGGCATTAAATGAAGATGAAGGGGAGAGAAGGGTTGTTTGGCAAATTGCATAACTGTGCCAGCTAAATGTTGCTGCCGCGTTTTTTTTTTGTGTTTTGGATTTTTTTTTTTTGTTCGTTTGCCCGCATTGTTACCCATAAATTTTAGCCTCCGCTCGCGGTTTTCGTTACCGTTTGCTTTTCTGTCTATTTCTGCCACGGTTTTTGTACGTTAATTGTTTGCATTTTTTTCTTTCACTCATTTGCATTCGGTTGCGGCATCGATTGGCCATTTATTTATGGCCACACACAAACTCAGCGAATGCAAAAGCAGGCAGAAGGCGATGAGAGTTGTGCCAATTCTCATGGAAAGCAAGTTGATCGCCGGATCGCATATGAGCCGCCAATTGAGCGAAAAAGTGAAATAGCTGGACATTTCAAAAACATTAAACATAGAAAAAAAAACACTATCAAAGCCCGAAGTAGAAATGCAGAAAAAAAATCACAACAAATTGTGCTGCCCATTTGACCATATAAAAGCCGTTTGGCCAAGTCCAAGTCGACCAGGTCCAATCGAAATGAAGATGGTGTGGCAGCGGCAGCTCGAAATGGAATGCAGCAGCCACATCGGACAGCATCTTTAAGCTATTTTCAAGTTTGGCAGTTGGCCTGGCGGAAGGAATGCTGTTTCTTTCCCCCCGTCAAGATTGCTGGCCAGTAAAAAGAGATATCAAGGCGTGTTGCTGCTGCTGCGGCTGCTGCTGCTGTGGCAAAAGTGTTACACAAATAAATCTACATAAATTTCAGGCCAGCGCTAAACTCCCGACCGAAAAGGCTAATTTATGCCTGGCCAGGATGTCGGCTCATTAGCCAAGTTTTCTATCTAAGGAGAGTGGATCACTCGGACTGACATTCGGAGACGGATTCGTCGGGAAAACTGTTGTCCGTGGGCGTTGCAAGCTAATTGATGCGCCATCTGATCTGAATTTGCATTTTGCATACGCTCGTACTGTCTGCCAATTGGACACACACGAAAATATCCGTTAAGGAAACCCGTTCTCAGTTCCCAGTTCCCAGTTCCCAGTTTCGTTTCGGCGGCACAGGCAACCCATTTCGATATTTTGCATTCTGGCTTGTTTTATTTGCTTTAATCTGATCGGCAAAACAGTTAGCTTGACCGCAGTTGGCCAATCGAGGCCAACAGGTTTTTTGGCCAGCGGGAGCAGCAGGAGAACTCTGCAGGCCATTCTTAAGAACACATCCTAGTCTTTGTCTGGCTTAGCTGGCATTTAACAGGCATTCCCGGTGAACAAGGAAAGTGGGTTAACTGGCAGCACTAAAATTTCCAGAACCGAATTTTAATTTTATTCACCGGCTGAGTGTGTTGATTCCCATTAAACTCGCGCACGAAAAACAGGAAAGCGAAAAGCGCAAAAGCACGAAATTGAAACGAAATCAAGCGCGAGATGAGTCGAGATACTATATGCTATATGTGTGGGGATCCAACTGGAAATCTGGAATCGGGAGGGGAGGGGAGGGGGGCATTTCGGGAGCTTTGTTCCACATTCGCACGTGAGATTTATGCGTGGCTGTGGCCGGGGAATGGCTCCCCTCATTCTGGTGTTTATTTATACATTTATCGTTATGTATACGCACGTATTAATGGTTCTATATGCACGGCAGCAATATCCACCTGTGTTATGTTCTCTCCGCTCGAGATTATGCAAAGCAGCGGCGGAGAGGAATGCTTTCCGCCCTGTTTACATTGGCTAAGTTATGCAGAGGCACTCGGCGAAGTTTTTGGCCAAAAGAATTCCCCTCTGGGTTGGGCCTCTGCCTCTACCACCAACGGATGTTGTGGGCGATCCACCAGCCAAATGTCAACTATTTGCTCTCGGCCCGATCCGTTGCCTTTAAAGGCAAACAGTCAATTAGGCGCCGCCAAAGTCTTGAAGAACCCGACGTCGAAGTATGAACGGCTTAGTCGCCATAATCTTTTGGCTTAAAAGTTCAATTGCCAAGTTCAAGCGAATGCTCTACACTCGGTTTTCGTTGCATTTCTCTCCCATGCATTAGGCCTAATTACGCTTTCAAATTTAATCAGCTGCTGCATATTGAGAGCTGTCCGTGTGTGGTTGAATTTCCCACAAATTATTAACTGAGATAAATTATGCGAAATGAAGTTCAAACTATACACACAGAGAAATGAATCAACAAAGCTTTTCTACAGTAAATTACTGTATGTAATTAGGTTAAGTTTACCATCTCGGGGTTATTAGAATTTTAAATGCAACTAAAAGCATATCAAATTAAAATAGAATTCTTTTTTCAAAGAATAAGAGACATAATGATAAAACCCATAACAAAACACTTAATAACGATTTTTAGATCTAAAAGAATAGCATAAAAGAATTAGGTGTTTCAATATTTTTTTTTAACTTGTGTTGATATTTATTTAATTATGATTCGCATTTTATTGCTAACGAGTCTTTTGAAAGCACAACAAATAGAAGAAACTGTTGACAATGGTAAATAAATTTTGCTTTGCTTTTTGGTCTGTGCAGCTTTCAATGCCAAACAGCAATCAAATACAACTGATATATGCTAAAAATTTATCCGCTTCCCTGTTCACACGCTCAGCCGAAACTCAAGTTTGGTTGGGAGATTGTTTAATTAAAGCCAAGTCAAAGTTGCTATTAGCCCAGGTTGCTGCTGGTGTTGCTGCCTCTCGAGAACTTGCCGGATGTTGGTGCAGGCAGGCAGGCAGGGCAATTTTGTCAACAGGTAATACAACAAACTTGTGCGACCACAATAATGACAACAAAAAGCCAGCAACAAATGCTGCGTCAAGAGCAGCAGCAGCAACAGCAAGAGCAAAAGCAACAGCAACATCGCAAAGCAGCAACATCCAGCGGAGCAGCAATTAAATAGTGAAGAAGTTGTTTGAAGAGGGGGAGTGGAAAATTGTGGTAGTGCCGCTGGCTGTTTGAAGCCTTTTAACCATAAACATAGCTGACGACTAACTGCTTTGCGACGAAGTCAACGCAGCGTGATTAAAGTGGAAAGATTGTATTTGCTGGTTTTTCGAGAAGCTGTTAACGGGTGGAAACCTTTTGGTCCCAACACATTGGGGATTTAATACGAACTTAAGTCCCCGGATTGACCACCCAAGAGCTACACGACATGATTTCTTGATAGCTTGACACATTCTGCAAATGGTTTTGGGCCAGAAGTTACTCGTTTGGCTGTCAATTATCCTGAGTAACGAGCCCGTCTCACAGTTTCGCGTCTAGCTGTCAATATTGCCAGTCATTCCAGTGCCCGCCAGCATATCATGTCGGGTTAATTGAAGTTGCGATACTCGCTAAGCCGCTAAACCGATGGCCCACAAAAAAAGGGCCCAGAGCCCAAGGCACTGGCAAATTTTTCGGTT